ACCTAAAAATATTTAGATTCGATAAATATTGAAAAATCACTAAACCGACACCATGAAACTCGTGGAATACTATGAAAGAATATGAAACACCTAAAAGAACTTTTTAATTACTTTCAAATTTGGACTGTTAGATTTTTTTATTTACTGTTGGATTTGATCACATTTGCCTCAAGGGTTAAAGCCAGTTGGAGTAAGTTTAGAACTTAAAATTTGAATTTTACTTCCAAGGGTTGGAGTAGGCTTTTGAGGGTGAAATTATTAAATTATCTTTTCATGTTGATGATGACAAACCCGTCGCATTCACAAATTCACAATTTCAAATTCGTGTGAATGTGCATAATTCTAATGGCTTAATTTATAAAATGACTAGATCAACATAGGCTGCTGCTTTGAGAAGATAATGTCAAATAATATTATTATGTATAGTAGTGCATAAGCTGGACTATATATAGCATGTACGTTTCTTTAATAAAGAATGAACTCTAATACCTTGCTTATAAAGAGTCGATATCATTCGCAACAATAACAAAACGTATCAACATATTATTAATTTGTATTTTTGATAAGTCTACTACAAGATTGATATATATTTGTTCTTTTATAAAATGAACTAATGCACAGAGAAAGGTGAGATCAGTACTGACAGTCAAAATATGCAATATCCAGAAACCCTACCTGCCAGTTGCAAACCAACAAGAAGAAGACTGACGTTAGCCTGCGGGTTACAGCCTTTGTAGACCTTTGAGTGTGAAATGTTGAAATAAAACATCCGACATTTGATGTACGGGTTATGAAGTATACGTCCATTTTAATCTTGGCGCACGTTCGGTATAGCAGGAATGCATGCCAGGGTTAGTCGTCCACACACACTCATACAAGTCGTTCATATTTGCATGGGATGATCTTGACTTAAGATTCAACACGTTCACGTGAACTACTGATCAAGTGATCATGACATTGTGCTTGTTACAGCAGGCAAACCCTAGTTAATGCTATTTGCATCAGATGGTTGGACTGCCCTGTGTTTTTCTCAACTACACTGTAAGTTTGCTCCATACCCCACACACACACGTACATATATCTGTGTGTGTATACGACCGTACTGTTTCCACATCAAGGTTTGGGAGGGAGACAAGGGCACTTAAAATTAGCTTTTGATGGTACATGTCGTGTGGAGGGGATTGATTCAACGAGCTACGTACAGAGCTGTATACATGTATAGGTGTTTCAATTATGAGAGATTGTGATGAATCTCTATCATGCTTGATTGATAACGAAAATTCAAAGGACTTAACGACGTTTGAATGAACTGTAAATCCAAACATCAGCCGTTAATTCCGGCCCTTTCAGTTCATTGATCATTTTACGAGTTATAAGGCCGGTTTCCCACCCCCCACCACCACCACCACTATATCTCACCATGGTCACGTACACCAATCATTACCACCGTCCTCATGAGCTGTCACCATCGTTTAACACTTACAAGTTAATTTCCTCATACTTTTAATAATTTAATACCTCATCCAAATTCAGTAATAAAATTATTTTTCTTGATATATATATATATATATGAAAAATTGAGCAAGTAGCTAATAATTGATGTTTTACTATAAAACCAATTGTTAATATGGGAAGTAGTCCAACCTCTTATATATAACCCTCGTAAGGTTTCTTCTTTCACCGATGTGGGGCTCTTTTACCTTCACATCCTTACACGCCCCCTCACGTGTGAGAGATTTTCAAGCCATACACGTGAACAACACAAATTGGGTGATGTGAAACACGTGTGGCCGTTGAGCTTCACACGTGGGCCAACCTGCTTTGATGCCACGAAGAAAGTTGAGGTTTCACCATAAAACTAATTGACAATATGAGAAGTAACTCAACTTACTAATATGCCCTTACAAGGTTTGTTCTTTCACTGATATGGGGCTATTTTACCTTCACATCCTCACAAATAGCTGTTAGTATAATAATAATTGTGTGTCTGTAGAACGTTAGGTGGCCATTTGAAGTTTTTAAGACTTTGTGAACTCACTGCTATGCATGTATTCCCCCAATGCAGCAGCGTCCAACCCTCCTGAAATTCAGCTCAGTTCATCTGTCTCTTACCCAAAATAATTGAACCCTTGTTTTCTTCCTTTCAATACTATACATAACTTAAAAGTTACACAAATTTATTGTATGATCCAAAATAGCGGAAGACTTCACTATGAAAGTAAAACTACGGCTTCCTATGACACTCGTCACGGAATGAACGCCATTGACATGAGATATCTTGTGACTTAACGAGAGAGTAATATCATCAGTTGCATGCAAGGTTCTCCGTGTTTGCGTGAGAAAAAAAATCTAATGATATTTGTACACCTTATTTTCCTTATAGAAAGATTTTTCAATGTGACCAAAACACGGAATTCTACGCCACATGTCATCATATAATTGAAGTGAGACTTAAAAAAAAAATCTTCTAATTGTATAACGACATGTGGTTTACCACCCTGTGGTCGGTTGCACTAAAAAATCTCTCTTCCTATCTATAAATTGGGCAAGGTTACAGCCTCATAGGTACCACTGCTAGTCTGCTAGCCCTGTGTATGTGTCCAAATCCGCTGCCCCCATGACATGTTCTAAAATTGTTAGTTAAATACAAAGTGGGATCAGCACTGTTTTTTTGCTTTTGATTTTTTCTCCTTGTTATTCACTTCGGCCTTGTATTATCTGCCAGTCAGACAGATAATTGGAGGAAGGCCTTTATTTTTCCCTTCTTTCTTTTTTGTTGTTAGGAGTGCAGACTAAGCTAGATTTTGAATGAATAAACTTCATTGATGCTGAAATTAATTAATTAGATAAAGTTAAATAAAAATCAAATGAGTATTAGTGATTTTGCTTTCTGGTATCAGTTCCTTTCTTAGCTATGCTTTTAGTTTTAGACTCTCAAACACTCTATACGACCCATAATAAACTTCCTTTAGAACTTTTGGTCAATGGGGAAGATTGAGATTGACACAAGTTCCATTGGACATTTGAAGTTTAGTTCCACTAATTGAACCATATGGGGTTTTATTTTTTGCTTTCACACGACAATATTCTATTCTAAACTTCTAAAGTGAAAACTCAAAGTCGAATACAAAAAAAAAGCGCACACTGTCTTATCTAAATGACTTAACACATGTGCGCTGAACAATATAGAATGACTCAAAAACTTAACATAACATCATTTGATTAACAATCTATCTTCTTTGTGAAGTGGCTAGAACTAGGTAGTAGATCAATTATGCTGCCTTGATTTATTTGAACTTATATTTGAGTTGATGGGGACAAAGCCCCATATGCCAAAATAATGGATTCAGAAGTTGCATCTTTGTCATGCAACTGACAAAACCGGATTGTCCTTGGTTACAACTCTTCTCATGCTTGATATATAGTAAGAAAATTAAATAATGAAAATAGCTAGTAGTGTTACTATAATACTTAGTTGTTAACTTGCTTGGTGGATATTGGATAAGGAAGGCCAAAACCAGCTTTCATTTGAAATGATTAGTGTTCCGCCTATCGTTGACATGTGATAGTTATTTCATCAATATGTTACCGTTACGTCAACCATATTCAACCAATATGTCGTTTCTATTTGATTTTGATCAGTCAAACAACAGAGATTTGATTTATGATCATTTTAACCGATTTCTCAGATAAACAGTAAAAAATAATAGGAAAGAAATAGGAAATTATGGGACTCTCAGCTGTCATTTATAACTATTTAGTATATGAATTATCAATCATATTCATATGTTCAACTAAAACGTCAATCAGTTGATACTTCTAGATTAGAGAGCGATGGAAAGCTCTCACTTACCTAATACCTAATGCCAACAAGAAAACATGTTTGGAAATAGGAGCTGGAACCATGACCATGACCCTCAGCCCCCGGGGAGCGTCTTGTTCTATTTTCCTATTGCCAAGTCCATGCTTGATACTGACTTCTGTGTTTTGTTCAACTAAAATAATGAGCCGACTCAACGTTGCCAACATGCTAAACAAGGAAGACTTAACATCTTAGAAATTAACAAGCCTTGAGAAAGGCACTTGGTGGTTTACGTTGTCACCATTCAAGAATGGCTACTGCATGAACTGGGTTTTGAGGCTTCGTTTGTGATGTAGAACAGATGACACAGTGGATTGAAGAGCACCTTAACAAATGTAAAGAGCGAAGTTCAAGTTTTGAACGTTTGAACTCCAAGCTTCGATATGATATTTTTAAGGCCGAATCCTATCATTTACTAGGTCAAAACTGCAATTTAAAATTGAGGGTGTTTTTGGAATTTTAATTTTGATTTTGCTTTCAATTAGGATTCTTAGTGAATATATGTTCTGATGTAGTACTTTAAAGTAATTTTTGGCATCTTCATATTATTCATTCAACAAGCTTTGAGGATTTCTCATATTTCGGTATAAATATCACCATACATCAGTTTAGTAGACTGATTATTTTGTACAATCGATAATTTACACTAAATTAGACACCTAACTATTTGAAGCAGGATATTTTAATTGTATTGTTGACCAATGAAATATGTGAATCTAATCCTGGACTAAGAAAAAAAAAAAAAAAAAAAAAAAAAAAAAGGGATGTGAATCTAATAAACATATAGAGCAAGAACCACTTCAAATTCAAAATTAATCTAAATTATACTTAAACAGTCAATGGGCCTTCAATTTCAATTGGTTGGGTATGAAAGAGCGACCAAACTCAGTCAATAATTCATTTGCTCTAAACCCAGCCCAACTGAACAAAACCTCCAAAGAGGAAAACTAAAAATTATTGAGATTATTAAAATTCATGGCTTCGCCCGGGTTCGAACCGGAGACCTTCAGTGTGTTAGACTGACGTGATAACCAACTACACCACGAAACCAGGTTGACTTTGTTTCCCAATTTATTTTATTAATGCACACTTATTGTGGTTAATATCAAAGCGGTTGATGAATTAATCCAGTTGCTCAGTTACTCGGTTAGCAGAGAGAGAGAGAGAGAGAGAGAGAGAGAGGAACAGGAAAAGGCGACTGAGCGGCAAAGATGATAAGCACCGGCAGGTTTCCACCTCCTTGCACTTCCAAATCCCTTCTCGCCGCCGCCATCTCGTTCCCGCCACACAAATCCCAATTGGGCTTCGCCGTCTTTCCCCTCCCATCTACTTCTTCTTCCTCGCTCCCCACAGCCATTTTCAAAACCAGCTTCTTCCTCCCTCCCATTCGGGGCGTGCATCTCGGGTTTCTCGCCGTCCACGCCAGGAGAAGTAGCGGTTCGGGAGTCTCCTCCCAGAAAAGGCAACGGAGAGGCGGCGTTGTAACGGACGACGACTCTGATGATGACGAGGAGTTGGAATTGGACGGCTCTGATGACGTGTTCGATGGTGAGGAGGAAGACGATGACGAAGACGCGTTTGTGCCGTTTGGGAAGATGAAGAAGTGGCTGGAGAGGAAGCCGCGGGGGTTCGGAGAAGGCAAAGAGTACGACATTTCGATTGAAGAGAAGCTGCTCGAAGAAATTGAGAAGAGTAAGAAAGCACAGGCCGAGAGTAATCTCGCCAGGCTCTCCGAAAAGGCGAATTCGAAGGGAGACCAAAGCAAGAACAGCAGCAAAAGTCTGGCCTTTTTCTCCATTGGGTCCAATTTTGCACTCAAATTTTAATCCTTTTACTTCAATTTTTACTGCACGTGAATTTGCAGGTGTTGGTGCGGTTCCGGATGGAGTTAGAGTGCGGGTGATGAATCTTCCGAAGAAGAAGAACATACACAGGGATTTGAGCTCGGCTTTCAAGGTGGTTCCGGGTTTGATTAGTATAAACCCCGCGGTTTCCGGAAACAAGAAGACTAAGGACCCCATTTGCAAGGGTTTTGCTTTTGTTCATTTCAAGTCCGAGATCGATGCAACTAGGTATGTGTATGGTTTAGGGTTTAGGGTTTATGGAATGGAATTCTAATTTGAGAATGCGACTTTGAATCCCTTCGCCGTAGATATATTAGTTTAGAATATCGTTTTGTTAAAAATGAAACATGAAGAAGGGTAGTGATTGACTAGAAGGGTGCGGAAGTTTTCGATCTATGTGGATAGGTGTGGTTGTAAAATGCAGGACAGGGCTCCGTTTTAAGTATGAATATTGAGAGTTGAGAGTACTATCAAGCATATGCATATCGGCATTTACCTTTGAATCTTGATTGTATGCATTGTGGTCCAAGTTTTATTACAATGCCGGTATTCTATTATACGAGTTGATTGGTTTTTCTACATGGCAGGTTTGTAGAGATGTTTTCTTCGCAGAATGTTACGTTTGGTAAAATTCAAAAGCAGATAAAATGTGAGCTGGTAGATACGCCACAGCCGAATTTGGATCAGAAACAATCAACAAATAACCGTGGTGCTCTCCCACTAATTGTTTCTGGATTGGAAGGAGATGATAAAGCTGATTTTGACTCGGATGAATCTTCCATGGACGCATTGGAGGAGACTACCCTTGATGAATATGAGGGCTCTGATGTTGAGATTGTTGGACCAGAACTGGAAGACGTCATGGAACACTCTTCGGATAACCATACTGCTCGTGAACTAACTGTTTCTGAATTGGAAGATGAGAAAGCTGATTCTGACTTGGATGATTCTTCCCAGGAGACATGGGAGGAGACCATAGTTGATGAATACGACGGCTCTGATTTTGAACTCGATGAATCTGAACTGGAAGATGCTATAGAGAATTTGGAATATATCAGTGGCTCAGACCTAGATGGTGGAGATAGAGATAGCATGGAATCAAGGACTGAATCCGAGTCTTTATCAGCAGGTTCATCCTCCTCGAAGCAGCTACTTGTCAAAGCAAAAGAAGAGAAGCTTCCCGGACAAAAGCCAGCTGTGAAAGGGAAAGGCGAAAGCTCGCCTAAGAATAAGAAGAAGAATAAGCTTAATGTGAAACAAAAAGCAGTGAAGGTTCCAAAGTTGACGGTCGGCGGATCCGCCAAGAGGTAATCAGCTTCAGCTGCATATTTACTGAAATTTTTTCAGTCTGTTCTTTCTTTAGGATAAAATTACATCAAGTTCGTTGCTCGTGCTGTAGGTTGAAGGTGAAGGAGAAGGCTGTGCTTGGTGACGTGTTCGCAAAATATGGGTCCAAAGAAGCTGTTTTGGCTTCAAAGGGAGATAGCTGACCAGGCCATTGTATGAGAACATGGAGTGGTAGTGTGGGACTGTAAACCGCAAAGTGCAAATGTATGAATGAAATTTGCTCTTCTTCCCCCTCTTTCCTTCTATATTATATAGAATATTCTAATCTACTCTAAACTACGAGTAGGGGATTCCGTCTTCGGGTAGAGTGGCGCCACTCTTCCTACACCCCTACCCAGTTTGGCTACACCTAAAAGGAAAATTACTGCAATTTTTCTTCAACAGTAACTGACTACTAAGATTGACTCAAAAAAATCGAACAGTGAAGATTGTTTAAAAAGTCGGACTATTTCGTAGGCTGAACTACATAAGACAACATCCAAGTTATTGAGGCAAAGTATATACTGCATAAATCGTTGAGGCTAATTAAAAAACAATCTACAATTCGTTTTTATTAAAGAACAAACGTCTATTATCAACGCATTTTTAATTGTTTAAAAAGTCAAACTATTTCCTAGGCTGGACTACATAAGACAACATCCAAGTTATTGAGGCAAAGTGTATACTACATAAATCGTTGAGGCTAATTCATAAACAATCAACAATTCGTTTTTATTAAAGAACAGACATCTATTATCGATGTATTGTCAATTGATTTAAGTGAGATTTTAGTGTAGGGTTACGCTAAGTTTTGCGAGATGGGCGATCTATTCAAGACGAATAACTTATATGAAATAATATGACATGAAATGTCACGATCACATTATATTAGTATTATGTAAGCTGCTCTCCTAATCAGTTTTTGTGTATTTTTTTTTTTCATAAAACTGGGCCGTTGCCGACAAACCCCTATTTGCGACTTGTGTCTGTAGCGAGGCGGCCCAGTCAAAAACCCATATCCTTCTCTATCTGCTCTGCCTCCGGGCCCTGTGGCCTCTCTGTTTTCCGAAACTTTTACAATCCATCGTCCTCCGGTAATTGTGATGAACTGCTTGTCTCAAGTTTCGTCCTACACAACCGCCATTTTCAGAACCAAGTCCTGCTTCGTCGCGGCGGCGAGTTCTTCTCTATGCGCACCTCTTCCCTGGAGAACAAAATTCAACCGTCCGATTGGGATTAAGTCTATCAACTTAGAATCAACGAAATTCCATGTCCAGCTCTACTCCTCTCGAAGCGAAAGCAGCAGCAGCAGCAAGACGACGTCGCTTCATTCGCGGAGAAATTCCGGACCCGAACCGGTTACTGAACCGGAAAAAGACGCCTTTTATGTAGTTCGCAAAGGGGATATCGTCGGTGTTTATAAGAGCTTCAGCGATTGCCAGGCCCAGCTTGGTTCTTCGGTAATCTCATAATTTTATTTATTTATTTTTTTTTCTGGGTTGAATGAATTAAAATGTGGTTTAATTTCAATATTATTACCTATTTATTTTTGAATTTTTGAATTGTGGTAGATATTTGATCCTCCCGTTAGTGTGTACAAAGGGTACTCTTTGACTGAGGAAACTGAAGATTATCTCGTTTCGTTTGGACTTAAGAACGCAATTTACACCATCAGAGCTGAGGATTTGAAGGGCGATCTTTTCGGCAAGCTTCTGCATTGCCCTTGTCAAGTAAGAGTTCCACTTGTTACTTCTGTTTTGCAATTCCAAAAGGCGAAGTTTTTCGCCTTCCCATTTCGATATGAACTTGTAATTGATGGCATAGTAGTTGTCTGTGCGAGTTTTGAGTTGCTTTACTTGGTCTCAAGTGACATAACAATGTAATTTTGCCCAAGAGATGCTATTGTTTTTATGGATTGGCTTTGTAGTGGTGTAGGATTATGTTGTCGTCTTTCTCGTTTTAGGATCCAACATCTTCAAAAGATGAAACATCTGCGCTGGATGCATCCGAAAAGAGACCCCATGAAGTGCCTGGGTCGGAAAATGTGGTAAGTTCAGAATCATAGCTATCTCTGAACTGGAATACCCTTGTTCAAGAAAATGAAGAACAATAGATGTCTTCGACATGTCATTACTACCTTATTTCTGAAATTTCGAGTATCTACTGGAAAATTTGGTGTTTTTTTTCAGTGTTACTATTTCGTTATGTACAATAATGATATGTTATGTTGTGTGTTTCTAGCCGTTGTGTAATTTTTTTCCCTATTTATCCCTATTCAAATGTTAGGCTTGTTTTGTATTATTAATTGTTTTGGTTTTCATTGATTTGGCTGCTTTAGTCTCTACTACACATTTCGATGCTTTGCAGGAAGTAATTGGTTCAACTTCCATATTAGAAGATCAATTCAGAAAGCATGTCGAAATAGAACAATTCACTGAATCGCTACCCTTGGACACTGTAAGTTGAATATTTGGCGATGTTTGATGGTTGGAAAAATATTTCTATATTTTTTATTATTTAGATATTACATATATGAACTACTATGCCTCTTTTTGGGATTTCCTCAATTGATTTTGTGGTCATGTCATATTTTTAGGAGTCTTGTATTCTTGAGTTTGATGGTGCATCAAAAGGAAATCCTGGACTAGCGGGTGCTGGAGCTGTGTTGCGAGCTGATGATGGAAGTTTGGTAAGTATTTTTCCTAAGGGGTTTGTCTATATTTAAACACATGAAAAATCTTCTCTCTGACCATTCTTTTTCTGTAGATTTGTAAAATTCATGAAGGTCTTGGTGTTAGAACCAATAATGTTGCTGAGTACCGAGCTCTGATTCTAGGGCTAAAATATGCTCTTAAGAAAGGTTTTACTAAGATTCGTATCAAGGGTGACTCCAAGCTCGTCTGTATGCAGGTCTGTTAATGACCTTGTTATCTTATATTTGGTTGTCTTGAATTGTTATCCATTGGCGTACTTTTGCTGGTCTAAAACGGTTTTTAGCAAATTCAGTCACTAACCTGCATATACTGGTTGATGTTCTTAAATGCCAATGCCATCATCTTTAGGTTGCTCTTGTCTTGATTGATTTTGAAAAAGAAAATTTGATTTGATGCATATTCTGTTTCGGTCTTTAAGCTTGAAAAGAAGCTGTGTAGTGTTGTACTTTCTTAAAGGACCTTTTCTTCCTTATATGTAGTTGTCAGCTCCTTTTGTTCGGCAAGTGTGTAACTGTGGTTGTTATGGGAACAGGTTCAGGGATTATGGAAGGTCCGAAACCAAAACATGTCTGATTTGTGTGAAGAGGTGAAGGAACTGAAGGATAAATTTGTCTCGTTCCAGATCAGTCATGTTCTCAGGGTGGGTGAAGTTGGTTCTGTTTATATTTTGTGTTATACGATAATTTTGTGGGTTATGGGTTGCACTTCTTGTTAATTGCTCATCTGTCCCAGACCCACTAATTTACCACCTCATTGGGGATGGTTATGAAGTTTTGACATTTTCTTGACTTCCAAAGGAACAAAATTCGGAGGCAGATGCTCAAGCAAACTTGGCAGTCCGTCTTAGCGGTGAGGCTTTCAAATCTGAATTTTGCATTTATAAGGTTTCAATCTGCACACGGTCATCTGGCCAACCAATTTAATTTATCATTATCTGTTTGCTATGCAGACGGTCAAGTCCAAGAGGAGGAGTTTGGGAAGTAGTTTAAAGCATGGTCTACTGCTGGGTATTTTCGCGTTGATATCAAACAGAAAGTTAATATGATCATTACGAATTTTGTTGCTCGTTGTCCTCAAGTTCAGTGTTGGTGCAGGTGACTGAGCTTTTCAAAGATTAGACCCTGATAAGTTCAGGATCTTTGGCCTTCCAGCTGTGTGTATGACGACCAGTGTGGCTTCGGTGGTGCTTTGCTACTATGTGGTTCATGTGGCATTAATTAGCAGCACAGGAATGATTTCAGCTGAGAAACCTACCCCCATTCCCCATCTGCTAACGTTTCTATCTTTCAAGGTAGAGCCGGGGAGCGGCGCCCGCGGTCATATAACTCGTGATGCAAAGGGAAATTCAGTTTTGCAAACTCGCACCCCGCAAAGATGGGACTTGGAAGCCTCAGCATACAGAAAAGGTCAAGCCTAATGTGAAGTTCGATTCGCCTAACCAGTTATCATCCTTTCATTAAACAAAAGCAGATACAATGTGCTTTTCCTACCATTTATACGACGAACTATTTGCTTGTAATCAATTCATTTGTTGTAATTGGACAAAGCTTTCAACCTCAGGTTCCTTTCGATGTTACAAAATTCAGTGTTATAAGCAGGTACAATGTGATTTATCTACCCTATTTATATGTACAATACTTGCATGTAATCTTCTAATGTCCATCTCGATGCCTAAATAAATGTTTGTACATTCCAATTTGAGTACAAAGAGGTGAACATGCTGTCTGGCCAACTAGCTTAATTTACGGTTATTCCATCCAAATAACATTAAAGTGATTAAAATGATCGTCAAGTTAGACAAATAACATTTATGTATACTAACGAAATTTTACATTAAACTAATTCAAATCGCAAAGAAAGAGGATTCATATTTGAAAACATTTAGAAAAGCATATCCGTTTTAGTTAATGTAGCTATGTCTTAGTATACGAAAACGAACAAATTGAGTTAAATTTTGAAGCCCATAACTTTTCAAACCGCAAAGAAAGAGGATTCATATTTGAAAACATTTAGAAAAGCATATCAGTCAATATAGCTACGTCTTAATATGCGAAAACGAACAAATTGAGTTAAATTTTGAAGCCCGTAACTTGGGGACCAAGGAAGGCATGGCCCTAAAAATGATGCGAACCCTTTTTCTTTCTTCAATTTAGTGATGGGAACATAAACTCTTGAACGACAGCCGGTGCCGCCGCTAAAACCCCTCAAAAACCAGAGCCAAAGATGACGGCGGCAAGGCTGATCAGATTGCTGCCGAAACTTACAAAAACAAGAGCTTCACTTTCTTCTCCATCTCCTTCGTTTAAATGTCTATTTTCTTCCAAAACACCGTTTCCGCAGGACATCGTTTCGAGCACAGCTGCCGACCTCGCTGACATGGGCGAAGAAGAAGATGACGACGTGCCCATCTACTCTAACCCGACTGCTTCCGCGGCGGCGAAGATCATGCTACCCACTATCCTTCAGCCAGGCGTCGTGGTGTACGATGGGGTCTGCCATCTGTGCCATGGAGGTATTTCAGAAATCCCATTTCCCCTTTGAATTTCTAGGGTTTTCAATTTGATCCGAATGGGGAAATTGGGTCTTGGTCTGAAATGTCGTTGCAAACAGGGGTGAAGTGGGTGATCAAAGCAGACAAGTACAGGAAGATCAAATTCTGCTGCGTCCAATCGGAAGCTGCCGAGCCTTACCTGAGATTGTGTGGTCTTGATCGAGAGGACGTTCTTCGTCGATTTTTGTTCGTCGAAGGCCCGGGGCTTTACCACCAAGGCTCTACTGGTTAGAATCTCTCAGCATTAGCTTTAGATTATAGCGACCCTGTCGTACTCCATCTTTTGAAATTTCATTTGACATGATTCTGCAGCTGCATTGAGAGTATTGTCTTGCTTGCCTCTCCCTTACTCTGCTTTGAGTGCTTTCATGGTGATCCCGACTCCTCTGAGAGAGATGATCTATGATTACGTTGCCAAGCGGCGCTACGACATCGGTGGCAAGTCCGAAGATTGCTTGGTTTTGCAAGAGAAAGAGCTGCTGGAGCGTTTCATTGATAGGGAAGAGCTGATGGATCGAGCTCCCCCGGATTTGTAATCAGTTTTATGAATGTGTTACTTGGTTTCACTCAAGTGCTTTTGGAAGTGTCAAACTGAGTAGCATTGTCTTAAAATGATATATTACTCGTAATTTCGCGTCGACTGCACTCGGGACGCTAATGCGGCTGCCAAACTAATAACGCATTGTCGTTGTGGTGTCCCGATCTATCCACAAACCAATGTCGACAGGATAATATGGTTTCAATCCAGGGTGTCATGTTTTCTAACTTTTTAACGATTATTTTGTGGAATTGTATTGGGATTATTATGATATTATGAAAAATATGTAATTATCTTGAGCATTTTTTAAGAGTATTATGAACATATTTCTTATATTAATGCATTATTTTGGAGACAATAACACCATGAGTATTTGTCAAATTATTAATTTGTTAGAGAAAATAAAAAATGGTAGTACATGCTTCAAGAAAAAGACATAGCTACTTATGAAGATAATAACACCATATGTCATTTCTCATGCATAAGAATGACATGGGAAAATAAAATCGAGGATAGGAATTAGCGGGAAAAAAAAGAGGGAATTTTTTTTTTTCAGTTTTTTTAATAATTTTTAAGAGTGAAATGACTTAATTACCTTCACATGTTGTACACATGGTTTCACTTAACAGAAATATGGATGGAATATATGAAAAAATGGGCAAAAAAATTAGTTTGAGTCCTTAATTTTCCAATAGAAAAGTTCAAGGGGTAATTCGAAAGCTAAGTGAAAGTTTAGGGGCTAAATCGACAGTTTACTCTAAAGAAAATGATCTTGGGTTCCAAAAACACTTGAAATCCTTTCTATGTGCTTTTTCTAAGAAGCACTTCAAATACTTTTTCAAAATTTGTTTGCATTTTTACTAAAGATTGATTCCAAGAACATTTTTATTAAAAACGTTTTCAATTGTGTGAAAACACTTCCAAATCTTCAAAATACCATCTTAAAAGACCATTATTTTAAAAGACCATTACTCCAGACTTAAATGGAAAACTGGATAGAACCATTCCACATTGCACTAATCGCATTTTAGAAACAAACACTGGACTGTAATTGAAGGGCACTTTAAAGTTAAGGTACCCCTTAAAAAATAGGCGTATGCCGATATTAGCAGCGCGCACACGGTATTCTTTAGTAAAAGGCGAAAGAATAGTTCGCTTTGTGCACACCACACGGCTCCGTGATTGAAACAAACAGCTGGAGAAGCATTATGTAATACGTCTTGGATGGTTGGTGTGCTTCTCCTGATCGATGTGGGACTCCATTGCAAATTGTTTTATTCTTTGTTTTATCTTTCCAGACCCTTTACCCTGAGTTCGTCCAAGAGAGGAACTATTGGCAGTTGACAAAGATAAACATGATTGTATACAACTGGCGATACGAAAAATTAGTCATGACTAAGGTCTTTGCACGTCATTAAGTGAGAGTGGCTCAAGAATCAACCTGAAATCCAAGGCTAGAGTCGGGTTCTAGCTGGCCTTATCCAAGATACTCCGAAGTTTTCCAACGAGAACAAATCAGCGAGTGAACTCATTTGCGGAGAAAGATGATTTCGATTAAACTGGATTAAGCGTTTGGATTTACGAAAAACATTCAAAACAAATATGCGAATTTCAACACCGAATAATAGAAGATTACGGGACCATAAGGCAGAAGGAACAGCTTTTCATTGATAGACCTCAGGAACAGATTCACAGCATAATGTTGCAACAAAAGCAACTAATACACTTCCAAATTTCCCTTGCCATCAGTTTTGCAAGTACAACAGATACCAAAACTACTTGACCAACTCTATCATCTATCCTTAAACTAGCAAACTACAACGAAACAACCTTGCATAACAAGAGCTTGAGCTTCCTGTTAACTTTCATCACCGCCAGTCCATTCGTTCCAGTCCTTGTCAACATGATTTTGCGCCCATTTGATTGCCGCACGAGCTGCCTGGGGGCCTCCAGGTAATCCCCGTTCATTTAGAGTATCGGCCATGTCAATGAACGGAACCACCAAGAGTGTCCCAGGACCACCATACTCGGTGTGCAAGAAAGTACTGAATATCTGTCGACAAGAATCATCAGAGGGAAAATAGTTTAGTGCCTATACACTCCAACAAATCAACAGGAATCTTACCCCTAGAGATGATATAAAGTATCTAAAATCCATACGCAGCAGAAGCGGATTTTAAAGTATTTAAAATCTGTATGCAGCAGAAGCCACCTAAGAAATGATTCACAAAGTAGTTCTGTTATCTGTTATCCAGAGACCGTAACATGCAAATCCTGCATTTTTGTTCTGAATGAACTCTGCTTAAATCCTGCATTTTTGTTTTGGTCCATCGTCTCGGATTTTAATAAGTTCATCAAACGGCGGCCAGAACATTAGTCTAATTTAATTGAAATACCCAAGTTCAGGCCGAGCCACCCGAAAGACAACAATGTGATGAACATATTTTGGTAGCTATAACATGATGTAACATATTTTGGTTGCCATAACATAGACATTCAGCAATTTAAAGAGTCTAAAAAGATAGATTGATGCAAGTTTAAATCGGAAAGCCGTTGAAGTACCTCAGTGCATATGCCTACGATTTCTTCGACAGAGTCTTCATACATTTCTTTCTTGGAGAGCTTGTTCAGCAGATGGGTCCTGAACTTTTCTGTCTCCTGCACCCAAAAAAAAAAAACACCCAGAAATCGAATAAAAATCAAATCTTTATGAGAAAAATGACTACTAATTCTTAAAATTTTAAATAAAAAAAAAAAAGAAGAAAAATCTTACGGCATCAACGAAATCAGGAATTGGGTCGGGAAATTTGTATTCGCCCGCTGCTCTGCATATCTGGTGCTTTTCTGAGGACAAAAATGGCGAAGCAGAAGAAAAATGTATACTACTGCTTTTTGAAACCCTAACACTCGAAATCGAAGACGAAGAAGAAGAGAGGAAGGAAGGGGAAGAGTGAAGCTTAGGAGGAGGTAGTGATAGAAGCGGAGCTGCAGTTGCCCAGCTCATCTCTTTCCTTCTTCTCTTATCTAAAACCTCCACTAAAACCTTATGCCGTATGTACTCGTGGAATTGTGGGATTTGGATTTCTCACAAGGGCCTCTAACTGTTTCGAATTTGCAATTGAGCCCCCAGTCCCAAGGGGTTAATTTGGAATAAAGAACATGTGACTATTGAATTCTTTCAAGGAATAACAATATTTTACGAACAATACTTGACTACTTAAAGATGAGTAGGAACTATTACTCAAAATTTCTCAAAATTTTTCGTTATCAATTTATAGAATTTTATGTTTATAATTAAAAAAAATATTCATATTATAAATCATCCTATAAAGATCGTCTCTGCAAAAAATCAATTAAAACAAAGACCGTTTAGCCATCAAATTGTTTAAAAACAAATGAACGGTATTGATAAAAGCATTACGAATCGTCTATGTATTTATTACAATACATTGACTAAACGACCTTAATTTTAACGTATTTTTTGCAGAGATGATCTTTACAGAATGATGCATAGTATGAACAGTTCTAATCATAAGCATAAAGCTCTGTAATTAAAAAACTAAGAATTTTGAGTAGAAGTTCTTACTCATCTTTAAGTAACAAAAGAGCTACACGATTTACAAGGGATCCTATGTCAACAGGAATAAACAACTCGTACAAAACATTTACACATTTCACAGATTTCTCTCTTGCGGTTCGAGCCAAGGAAACCCGAGGAAATCAAACACCTCCTTTTCTGTATCAAACTTCAAGCTTGCGCTAGCCCTCGCTCCCTGAAACAGAAATGATACAAGCAGGCACTAAGCGAACCGTGAAAGAGATGCAAAGTGTGGTCGAAAGATCCCAAAAAACAGCAGGCCTTTACCCGTTTACCGCCAGAAGAGCCCTGCGTGGCTGGAAACAGCCCTGTGTCATCAAGCCGGAATCCTTTAGATTCAGCTAGTAATCTCAACCTGCATTCATAGATAGGATTTACAAACTTTTCGGCTTAGCATACTTGCGAATGACAATTACCTTAATATGGCACATCAGAAAACAAGGATTCAAATGATAATTGTATACAAATACTGCCCAACGGGTATGAGAGAAATGATACGGAGAATGTTCTCGAAACCATGGCGTCAATGAGTCCTGAACATTCTGTTTATAGAACTACGAGACTAACAAATCAACAATGTTTCTTCTTCCCTCTAATTTGAGCATGCTTCAAATATGAGAAACTATGCTTAACATAGTGTAGAAGTCAATAAAGTAAACAAACCTCCGATTCAATACATCATTCCCCGTCCAAGCTATTAGTCCAAAAGCATATATTTCCCGTGGGTAGACCTATAAAAGCAAAGCATGTAGTATAAAAACAATCACCCAAAGCAGGCCGTTATGCCCCCAAGAGGAGGGATATACTACAATAGTGTAAGTGTACGAATATGTGATTTGAGTGCCTATATTACCGTAAGGCGATAAAATTTAGAGAAAAAATAACTGCTGCTAAATGTTTCTAGTAATGAAAATGAAATAAATATCACCAACAAAAACCTTAAGATCTATGCGATGCCGCAGCTCTTGTCCAGGATATGTGCAAAGCCCGAAATATGTGTCGACGCCAGAATCAGTACCCTGCTCACGTTATTGAATAAAGAAGTTAATGCAAGCAATTATAAACCACGGAAAGTGCATTATAATAACATGGAATAATAAACCAAGAAACACATTAGGGTTATGCAGACATTACATTGGCTATGCTTTCTGAAGTCAGATGATTCTATATTAAAACAACTAAGACACGTATAAATACTTTTTGCAGCATTTGACTCGACACAAACCAAATCTTCTTACAGTTACCACCACTCAACTAGTAGGTGGAAACCTGAATTCAGTTTGTAACCCCGTGTCTGTAACACTGACATATGTACATTGCTAAGTCGTGAAAAGAAACGCATAAACAGAGAAAAGAATCATGTTACCTCCTCACTATGGGTACTGAAAACCAAATCCTCCCTTAAGAACTTCATATCCTTTAAATGCTTTACAAACTTTGGTAAAAAGCCTTTGTGACTGAAAACACAGACCAAAGTACGTCAAACTTTCCAAAATTAAAACCAGGAACTTGACTAGTATAGTAAGAAAACGACTACATTATGATCTTAAGAAACATGCATATCAGTATTTCTTAGTGCAAAGAAAATAAAGGGATGAGAAATTACGGCTTTCATACCTCATTCCATCAGGATGCGTAATTACAACATCCAGATCCCCACAAGAAGCTTTCCCACGTCTGTACGAGCCTCCACATACAATGACCACCTACGTGTAGTACAAAACTTAAGGCCACAAACTAGAATGGAAGCCAATGCTGTAATTGTGTGCAAGACTAATGCTTTTAAGGAATGCGTCAATGGCTGTTATATTGATCCACATAACAGTCGTACCTAAATAAGGGATTATAAAAGCATAGATTCATTTGGCTCAATTAATTCCACAATATGGCAGCTGTTTAACACCAGCATGAATATGCAAACTGAAGTTAAGTTCATTCTCTCTATTACACCAGTTCTTTGTTGCCTCACATAGAAGTTGAATCAAACGTAATTATGCTTACCCCAGGCAAAACTTCCTCTCCGGCTTTCTGTAGAAGGCGCTCCATCTCTTCAGCCTGTTGAATATAAAAAGTACCAATTTTTGTGGGTAAAAAGAACTCAAGTCAGCATAGAAATCAGGAAACATCATTATAATTAGACCTCGTGACGTGGGATCCTCTGTTTGATATCATCATAATATTTTAACCCCAACCTCTGTGATTTAGTTAATGAATCTTCATTCTTCAAATCATCTAATGTGCGGTATCCTTTCTCGTATAATTTCAGTGCGGTAGCTGGACCAACACCCCAAATTTCCTCAAATAAGGCGATTGTTCGTACCTGCAATCCATTAACCGAAAGGAGAAACCAGAACCGTCAATACAATAACGAAATGAAGTTGTGGACTCGGAATTAGCTCAAATATTGCGTTTGATATAGATGAGATATAACATCTCCTTATCATATATACATGTATGTATATTACACACGTACACACCCATAAACATAAATCATAAGTGAAGTAGTGTATTTACAATTTATATGACATAAGAGTTCAGATTTCAAATTAGCAGCATAATACTGAAATCATAAATTTACTGAGGATCTTTCCAACACCTTTTCATCTGTTTCAAAGTGCTCCAACTTGGATAACTTCCCAGTAGTCACGATCTCCTGAATCTGCAATCACAGATCAACAGCTTCTGTTATCAAGTGGACAAACTAAAAAAACTCACCATTCCACACTGAGAAGTAATCTGCATATTCTCAGAATAGGAAGCTTGAAGTTGAAGACTTAAACAATTTCTCACCCTAACAATCCGTTTGTGATGGAAACATTGACCATATTTCAGAAGGCTCACGGCTTCACAAAAGACACCTAGTGACATGTACTTTGCACAAACATATTCAAAGATTGAAATTAAGCTAATATATCCTCCTCATACAAACCTATATCATGCGCATTGACTTACATGATCTTGCATTGACTTTCCAATGTTGGGTAGGTCCTTAACTTGGTCCATACTTTGAATCTTGAAAGGTAACTTCTCTATAACCGCTATAGCCTTGTAATAGCTAAATGATCTTCGGTCATCACCCAAGGCTTTAATTTCAACACATGAAACAACCACACAACATCAGAATCCTGAAGAACCAAAATGCAAAGCAAACAAATAGATGTTACATAAGCCCCACCTCTATATATATTGATAAGTTTCCCGAAAATCTCGGTTATGTTCCTATTTAAATCAGGTGGGCTGTAGGGCACGGTTGATTCCAATGCTGCAACCTGATCCTTATTTGGGGCTTCGTGGGTTTTGGGTATTGAGGTCTGAACCGACTCATCACCAGGAGAAGATGATCTTCTCTTTTTCGGTTTTGGTATTTCGTCATCACTCGAAACATAATCACTGGAAGACTTTTCTGCTTCCAATTTTAGAGGTATACAAATCCTCAGACACCAATTTTCCTGAGCTCAAGCTGTCCTCAAGCCACTGATAAACTAAAACACTCTGCAAACCACCCAAAGTTTGGAACTTTGAAGAATTATTATACTGCATTACACTTTTCAAAAGTACCCAATTGAAAATTAATTACAAAGACTAGAAGAAATCAACGGTGAATAATTACTCACTCCTTTGAAATTAGCCAATTTCTCACTGCCCACTCGTTCTAAGAGGGCTTTTGCGCTCACAGCAAGTATGTGAGTGACCTTTTTGGTTAAGTGTTCCTCAATGGAGGCCCCCATTTGGACCAATTTTTGCTTCCAAATCTGAAATCTTATGTACCAATTTCTCAAAACATAAAGTAAGAAAAAAAAAAAAAAAAACATGGGTTATGGAGTGGAGAAGCTGTGAGTTTCAGACCTGTAAACGGCGACTCTGAACGCCGTTTTCGACTAAGAAGACGACCATTCCGGCGAACATTCCCTGAGGATCGGACGGCGGACTTTGATTTCTGGTTGCCTTTGGCGCCATTACTTTGACTTGGTCACGTTTATTCTGGCTGTTTCCAGGGCTTCTACAACAAAAGCCGTCGGGAATTTTACAGTTTTTACTTCTATGGGATTGGATGCGGTCGTTATCTAAGAACTTCCTGATCGTTGGAGGACACGTGTCACGGAGAAGACATTTGGCAATCAAACACCAGTTCTTCGTTTTTGATGGGTGGCAATCAGGTGAATTAAGCCAGGATGGTGTTTTTTGTGTTCATGCCATTTTTTTTATTATATTTGTTATCTTAATGGGTCGTGTCGTGTCAAATCTGTTATTTTAACAAGTTATTGACATGTGACCCAATAAACCTGATTTGTTAATGAGTGTGTAGTTTCGTGTCGGGTTTACAAATCATTCAAGAAATTGGCATACCTCATGTCTAGATCTGGCAACGATATCTTATCGTGTTTTTAATGAATGATTCGATAACAACCAAAGAGGTTAACGGTTTACTCAATAACGACCTCACTCGTTAACAGTTTACCCGAGAAAGACCCCACTCTTTAACAAATTGACCCGAAACTCATTATTTTCGTATCGTTTCGTATCAGATTAACAGATCGGGTAAGAAATTGCCAGGTCTAGTAATAATGTGTTAGTGAAACTCAAAAAGACTCAGGGGCAATAATAAGGAACAAACATGTTCCTTCATTTGAGTACAAACTCTAATATCTCTCCCACTTCCTTCCTCTTATTTAAATAGCTACGGTTAAACCACGTTAATATTTTGTATTGATTTTTTTATATAGAGAGAAAAACAAAACGAAAATTGTGAGAGAAGGGATGAGAAGGAGATAAAAATAGAAAGGAAGATAATCCTGCTCCTCCAAAAGTACTCATTTGATTAACGAATGATCCAACGGACCAAAATGTATCACACGTTATCCAAAAGTACTCATTTGAAGTTACTTTTGATACTCAGGTGGATGAACTTATAAGGGATGTGAAACATGGAATTGAGACGAGATCAGCTTCTGGTCAGTGCCGAACAATGGTGTTTGCAAATACTGTTGAGGCTGTGGAATCGGTAGCAAAGATATTGAAGAGAGCTGGAATGGAATGTTACCAATACCATAAAGATTGCTCCTTGGAAGACCGTGCAAAGACATTGGTTGATTTTCAAGAGAAAGGTGGCATTTTCGCATGCACTGATTCTGCCGCACGTGGCGTTGACATTCCAAATGTATCACACGTTATCCAGGTGTGTCTGAGTTTTTTATACTGTTTCAAGTATTCATCGGGTATTTATTAGCATGAAACTCTTGGCATCAATTACTCATTTCAGGCGGGTTATGCTACTTCCGCCGTGGACTTTATACACAGGGTTGGTCGCACAGCCAGAGCTGGTCAGTATGGACTTTTGACTAGCATGTATACGGAATCTAACCGTGACCTGGTTGCTGCAGTTCGTCGGGCAGGGGAACGGATCTGCCTGTGGCAATTATAAAACTCACAATTTGAAACAGATTGGTTATTACATATGGGGCTTGATTCTATCATTCTTGATTTTACAGCTGCCTTGCGAAGAATCAAGGATTCATCAGCTAATGTGGAGAGCGTTCTCGCTTAAGAATGGCAAGGTTAGTAGAATACAACTTGCATCTTAAATAACTTCATTATGATTTGAGTACATATTTGTTATGATATAAGGGATGGGACTGATTATATTTTTATACTTGTAGTATGTCTGCCGAAAAATCACACTCGTAGATGTTGATGAGGATGTTATAGCATAAGAAAGCTAGGTTGCGACGAAACTGATGTAAAAAGAAGCACGCGCAATTCATATTCATAGATTTTAAACTTTTTACAACAATGATATTGACGAGTGAATCTTATGATCCATAAGAAAATAAGCTCGGAAGAAGCATAAACTAGTTTAATCTGTGCCGTTCATAAACTCCTTTGCTTCTCCATTCTTATTAGCAAGCCGCAGATGCTCTAGCAAAATCACCAATGCTCTTGTTAGAGCTCCCCCCTTCACTAAATTCTTTCTTAGCCATCTCCCGCCATTTACTCGAATTCTTCTTAATGTCTTTGCTTCTCTCTCCCTCCATTACTTCCTTCAAGCACCCGACAAACTCTTCTTTCCTCACGACCCCCTCCTCGTCTTCCTTAGCTCTCACTCCAACCTCCCATATCTCCTCCACAAACTTAGCATTAGTCAGCTGATCTGCCCACTGCGGTACAGCCACCATCGGCACCCCAAGGCTGAGCCCTTCAAGTATCGAATTCCAACCGCAATGAGTCACGAAGCACCCAACTGCTTCATGTGCCAGCGCTTCCAGCTGGTTGCACCATGTCACAATCAAACCTTGTTCCTTTGTCGAGTCGACAATTCCATCGCACAGCTTACTGCGTTCTGATTCTCTTATCACCCACAGGAAATGCAGTCCGCTTTCTTTCAATCCCAGTGCCAACTCCTCCATCTGCGTCGCGCTCAAAGACACCATGCTTCCGAAGGAAACATACACGACCGATTTGGGTAGCTTTTCTTCTAACCATTTGGCGCATTCTTCGCCGAGAGGCTTCCATAGGCTTGCTCCATATCCTCTATCCCCCTTAATCTTCCCATCCAAATACGCTGAAGGCACCATGGGGCCAATCAACTTCACAGGCCAGAGCTCTGATATTCCTCGCGCAGCCTTTCATTTTTTAACATAAAATCAATACTTGCACTCAATGTTGATAGTATGACAAGAAAACATGCGTATGTTTTCCGTTAACGATAAAACGACAGAATTTGGTATGATAATATGACATAATCGTTTGACAAGAAACATAAGTTAAATTATCTAGTATTTGCTTACCTCGCCTTCGAGTGCTTCAAATGTGTTTGCAAAGATCCAATCAGCCTTGTCCAAGTTAGGATACTGATTCAGCTTCATCTTCAAGTAAGCCGGGTGACTATCCGGCTTCTTAAGAAAGCTAGGCAGGTCAGGTAAGTTGAGCGGAGGCAGGCCAGGAACCAACAAGGGCATGTCCTCGAGCTTACACGGCAGTGAAATCAAACCGCGATAAATGTACGAAAAAATGACGCACACAGTCGCCGAGTTGGTAAAGAATGAGGCTCCATAGACGCCATGTTTCTTGGCCACGTCAAGAGCCCACGGCAAAAATGAATCGCACACAATACAGCTGACAGGGAAATCGGAGCTTTCATACTTTTGGAGGAGCTGCGATAGGGTTCTTGAGCCATTGGTTTTGAATGACTGAAGGAAAGTGTCCTCATCCGCTGCTTGAGCAAAGCCGGCCTCGTCGAACCCATCAGAGATGGGCTCGACGCCAACGTTTTGGACACGAATGGAGTTGAGAGTGTAAGTGGTGGTTGCCAACGTGGCTTTGACGCCTTGGAGGCAAGGCGTTTTGCAAACTGCAGGAGAGGGTTGATGTGGCCTTGGCTTGGATATGGAAGCACCACAACATGAACCCTCCTCTCCATTTCTTCGCAGCTTTTTCTTGCATCCAACACTTCGTCACTATTTGTAGGCAAGAAAATGATGGCAAGATGAGCATTCAGATGATGTTGGGTTGAGAACGGAAGTTATTGTGTGGTCAGTATTAATTACTACGAGGTTCGACTGTATAATTTTGATTCCGTGGTCGGCATAAATACGTAAGTCTGTATTCCTTGTTTAAATCAATACACTCTTGAATTTATAAGGGGATGGTCATGGGTAGACCTGATAAACATACATCATGCATGTTATCTAAACGTATTGTGTCATGTTAAACTCGTTATCTTAACGGATTTTTAATAGGTGATTCGATAACAACATGATTCGTTAATAGGTCGTGTTGTTTCATGTCAGGTTAATGAGTCATGCATGAAATTGTCATGCCTATTGTATAGATCTAGCGATATCTTATCATGTTGGCAATCCGATTTATTAACGAATTCTTAACATGTTGACTCAAATCTGTTATTTTCGTGCCGAGTTAACGGGTCGTGTAAAAAATTATCAAGTCTAACAATGAAGTTTTGGGAAAAGGCGGGGAATGGGGCACGAGGGATTTTTTTTTTTCAAACTTTTTTTGTTTTATTTTACTTCTTTTTAAGTTCTTATTTTAATGGTGACTACCATATGCCACGCAAAGTGTGTGAAGCTTTTTTTTTATTTTTTTGGACAAACAATATTATCTATACCAAGTGCAGGGCTATGTTTAGCCTCATAATAGCTAACAATAATGTGGTTCAAACTCGTCTTTGGCGAGAATCGAACTTAAGACCTCACACTTACAAATGAAGAGGAATACTTATAGACCGTAATACTAAATAACTTAAAAAAAAAAAAAAAAAAAGGAAGGAGAGAGGAGCATAGAAACATAACATGAAATTGGGGAGAGAAGGGAGAAAAGATTTTTTTTTTTTTTTTAATATTAAAGTTATGTTATTATCATATGTGAATGATGCTTTAGGTACTGTTTGGTACGCAAATGGGACAAGATAGAATGGGACGGAACGGGACAAGACGGAACGGAACAGAACAAAGATTTCGTGTCATGTTTGGTATGCGCTAGATGGAACGGAACGGAACGGGATTAAATAACTAACTTACCCTTTTTATTTGACTCTATCTCTCCCATCTCTCTACTTTCTCTTCTTCCATATGTTTCTTGTTCTTAGCATGCCCAAATTGCTCCCAGTAAACAAAATGGTTGATGTCAACAACATTGCAATAACAAATGCTTAACCCAAAATTTGATCAACCACTCCATTAACATAATCCATAAATTATTCAATTTGATCAAAACTAATTGGCATCCCAGAAAACTCACAAATCCAGCCTCCCTTAACAGAGAGGAAGAACGCAAAACACCCAACCCAGAACCCAATCAACTTCTGCAAACCCTCCAAAGTTATAAACCTTCATAAGGAAAATCAAATCCCAAAAATATCAAAAGGGTCCACGAATCCACCAAAATCAAAAGGGTTCAAACAAAATTGATAAGGAGTTTCAAATTCACACATAAAGTTCCATACTTTTAGCAATAGAATAAAAATGCCGCATATTCCAATCACAAATTCAAGTGTTTTTGCATCATGGGTACCAATCGAAATCAAGATGAACGTCTCAAACCGATCGAAACCAAATTTTACAGCTGAAACCAAAAGCTGAAGCTGTGCGTCAATGGACGCCAACTTCTCCAGATTCCTGTTAGCCATTGCTCCCCACTGAGCCTCACCTGCAGACAACTAACCCACCACAAAACAAAACACAAAAATTCAGAACTTGATAAAATACAAAATAAAAACCCAAAAAAAGGAATTTGAACAAATGAGACTGAAATCTCGAATTGGATCAAAACACAATGGCACAAAATTCTGATCAGGACCCAAAAAAATAGAGCCTGTAAAATAGAGTAATCAACAGGAAAAAGCCACGATGCGGAGAAGGAAGCAGAGAAGGACGCACGTGAAGAATAAGAACGCAACGAGAGGTTTGAGGGCTTTCAAGAGAGCGCCACCGTGAGAGCATCTCATCAAGCAACCTTCCATGGCAGCGTTCTAGAGACCGTGGCATTAACCAGGGATGAGGGAGGTGGCGGAAGGAAGCTGGGATTGGGTTCAAAGAGAGGGAGGCTACGGGGGAGAGAGAGGGAGGGTAGAGAGTGGAATTAATGAAAAATTGAGGGGTATTATTGTCGAAAAAATTTATAATTTTGTGTTCCAGAGAGAAGGTGGAACGAAAAAATGGCTAAAACTCATTCCACGGGACAACGCGTCCCAGTCATTTGGGCATACCAATGCGGGACGGAACGCCTCGTCCCACTGCGTTCCGTCTCATCCCACGTATCAAACGGTACCTTAAAAAACAACAAAATTTATTTTATATGAAATTACATTACTGCCTATGTTTTAATATTTATATTCAGTTTTTATTAGATGATTAGAATGTTAATTCCATAAGATTTTTATTGACCATCAGAGAGAATCAGAGTTATGTTAATAAATATTTTAGAATCTTTATTATATTTTTCTACACCACGCATTTTCATTATTGTCCGTCGTAAAATAGCATACTCCTGTTGCACCCATTACGTCGTGTAGAAGCAAAAAAAAGGTGCGGCCCAGATCGTCCCTACAGAAGCATACTAGGTGGGAAACAGAGTAAAACAGGGGACCGGCTTTAATTTTGTCCCTTTTTTCCTGCCCTTGTTTTGTGACAGCGATGGAAACGTGGAAATTTAAAAAGAGGCAGATTGTTTGTCCTTCTATTTGAATGTTATTTCTTTCTCTTTCTATTTATGCGGTCACGGTTAAGCCACGTTAATATTTTATATTTCTATTGTTTTTTATCTTATTATCTCATCAAGCAACCTTCCATGGCAACGTTCTAGAGACCGTGGCATTAATCAGGGATGAGGGAGGCGGCGGAAAGAAGTTGGGATTGGGTTCAGATGGATTTGCTGGGATTGGATTCGAAGAGAAGGAGGCTACAGGAGAAAGAGAGGGAGGGTAAAGAGTGGAATTAATGAAAAAGATCGAAAAAATTTATAATTTTGTGTTCCATAGGCTGGAACAAGCCGTTCCAGGGGAAAGGTGGAACGAAAAAATGGCTAAAACTCGTTCCATGGGACAACGCGACCCAGTTATTTTGGCGTACCAATGCGGGACGGAACGTCTCATCCCATTGCGTTCCGTCTCATCTCACGTACCAAACGATACCTTAAAAAACAACAAAATTTGTTTTATATGAAATTACATTACTGCCTATGTTTTAATATTTATGTTCAGTTTTTATTAGATAGTTAGAATGTTAATTCCATAAGATTTTTATTGACCATCAGAGTTTTTCTTATTGAGAATCAGAGTTATGTTAATAAATATTTTACAATCTTAGATTATAATTAATTTATTATATTTTTCTACACCACTCTTTTTCATTATTGTCCGTCGTAAAATAGCATACTCATGTTGCACTCAGCATGCGTGTAGAAGCAAAAAAAAGGTGCGGCCCAGATCATCCCTACAGAAGCATACTAGGTGGGAAATAGAGTAAAACAGGGGACCGGCTTTAATTTTCTCCCTGGAAACATGGAAATTTAAAAGGAGGCAAATCATCCCCTTCTATTTATGCAGTCACGATTAAGTCACGTTGATATTTTATATTTCTATTGCCTTTTATATTTCTACCGCATAAAATAGGAGAGGATGAGAAGGTGTTGACTCTAAAAATTACAAAACCTACGTGGCGCGCAGGCCGAGTAACTAATAAGCTAACTACGTCCTTCGGTTGAATGCGGGGCGTGCCAACTCGTCGGCTGAGCTCGGCCGAGGAGTAAAATTTGATGATGTCGCGTTGAGCGCGCTGTTGACTTCTGTATCTTGCGATTGCGACCGAGGAAGGAACGCTCTCAGTCTCTGGGTTCTATAGCCTGAAGACAAGGCTACTAATTCTACGGAGTTCACAAATCGTTGGAGCCTGATTCGGTCACTGTGATTATATTCGTAAGAGTATAAGCACGCCGAATCGAGACCAAACTATACGGGCACAGGTACTCGAATGTGATATATGTCTTGATGGTAAACGTAGTTCGGCCGTTGGAATGCCGAACCCTGAAACTTACTTGCGAGTATCCAATCATAAAATCACTCGGCGTCCAATGCGCCGAGCAATGCAATTCGTAACACCCAACTATGCCGAAAAGGCTAGTAAGATGACTTCTACCAACAAGGGTTCGAAAACCCTTCTCGGCCGAGACTTAGATAGATAATCGGTCGACCTCGACGCAGTGCTGTTTATCCAAACTGAAGGTGCTCCTCGGTCGGCTGATTCTGCGATAGCAGTGCTGTTTATCTAAACTGAAGGTGCTCGCCGGGTGCTTCCACAGTGCTGTTTATCCAAACTGAAGGTGTGTCGGCAGGAAAAGAAAAGGAAAAAATCTCAAGGTGTTTGAGAGGTTTTGCGCAGGGCAATTGTATGCTGATTTTGAAGGGCCTTTTTCTGTTGCATGATTTCTTGTATTTATAGTACCCCATTCCTTGAAACCAATTCTGATTTGGATTGGGAGTCCTTGTCCCATTTCGACTCTAACTCGAACAAACCTACTCCCACTGGGGTTCTGAATTTTCCTTCTTTTCGAGACTCCATTCCTTGCCGGTCGAGACTCCTGGTCGCACCAGGACTTCCTCGACCTTTTCTATTCATCTGGACTACTTAGGATAGGATTTGGCCGACCCTGCCAACTGGCCCGGGTTTCATTATTCGGCCCATAGTATTTGTCATCACCTTGGGCCGAGCACATCTTGCTGCTCAGCCCAACCATAGTATTTCGGGTCCAAACAGAAGGACATCCAAACAGGAGGCAGACAATCTGCCTCCAATTTAAAATGTGAACAACACTGCTTTTTGTACGGAGGAGATTATGTTGAGATAAGGATGGGAATGTACACCGTTCAAATGACGGAAAGGTGAAAGTAAAGGAATCTAATTCGATTGAACGATAATAATGTGAATCCGGAATCTGAGTTCAGATATGTACATTGCTGCTATTGAATATCCTCGATTGACAACGAAAACGTGGATGGCAACATGCTAACGCCAACTTTATGTCAAATAGACCTCGGCTGCACGCACGGACAGAAATGGCCCGATGGCTTGGTTCAGAAGCCCACAAGCTGCCCAACCTTTTGGAGTAAGCAGGAAATGGATTTTTGGGTTTTGGATTTTAAATTATTTTTCAGTATTAAATTAAAAAAAAAATCAATGAAAGTCAAACGAAGTAAAGTTAGTAAACAAGAATACAGAAGCGCAACTGACTATTTACAATAGTGGTAGAAATATGTTAAGTTCTTGTATAACGGTGTGGGTCAAACTTCGTCAGTAATTAATCTAACAAAATTTATTGTTTGATAAAAAAAGAAAAAAAGAATATAGATACAGAGAAAATAGGTGAAGAACATCAACAGAAAATTTAAAATCCAAACTATAGCGAAACAAAAACATCATACAGCATATAAGCTCTCCCGAAATTTATTTATTTCCTTTTGGCCATTTTTCACTTGGAGGTGGATTGTTTGCCCTCCCATTTTCATACTCTCTCCATACCCTCCTGTTTGTGTGATCACTGTTAAGCTACGTCAACATTTTATATTCCTATTACCTTTTGTTTTATTATTTCTATATAAAATTAATATAAAATATTGACGTGACGTAACCGTAACCACATATCATAGAAAATATGAAGAGAGTATAAAAATGAAAAGGTTGAAAATCCACCTCCTTTTCACTTCCTGTGATTTCCGACTGCTTAAGGAGGTAATTGATAATTAGTGGTAATTAAGGGCACTTGAGGTGGTTTTGGTGAGTAGTCATATCAGTAGCAGGTCCCGCAGGAACACATTTGCACCACTTGCAGCCAACAATTTCGTCTCCGGATTCTTTTAGTGCAGATCCTAAAGATTTATAAATCGTGTTTATTTATCATAAATTATGTGATCAATTTTTATCAAGTATTATTTATGTTTACTTTTAAATAAAAATATTTAAAATAATTTTTGATTGTACGATATATTATAAACGAACATAATTCACATATCTTTAGAATCCTCATAAAGAGGATCAGCCAAGAATCCGACTCCTCGTGCAGCAGGTACCACATCCCCTTGTGCATACTAACAGTTGATCAGTACGAATGTACTACATCAATTGAGAAAGTCCTCATGCGGTAGGGACCATATGCCCTTGTACTACTTTCGTATTGATAATCGTTAGTATGCACATCAATTGAGAAAGTCATGTGCAAATAGGAGTGTAAATCCACCATTTTCAAAAGAAGGATAAATTGTGGCAAGTCACGGCTATCCATCATTTTTGGGGATTGAGAAGACTCGTAGAGGTATTTCAGCCCCTCATGGCAAACAAGTTTGGCTTCCACATTAGTTGCAGGTTTTGAACCTGAGACCCCAAGTTTTTAGTTTAAAAAAAACCTTGCAATCCGCCTTTTACCACTGGACCATCAGCTCTTGGTTCACGTTCGTAACAATTGATCTTTATGTTCAAATATGCCTTCCCACACAATTTAAAGTAAAATAAAGTGATTTTCATACAATTTTCATCCCGAGTACACTTATTAATGTATCTTTTACCTTTCGATTACTCAATCAGAAAAAGATTTTAAAAATAAAAGTAACGCTAAGTAGACTAACATTGTAGACCATAAAATCGTGTGATGTGTCATAATAAATAAAAAAACACGTTAATCAATACTTAAGTAATAATCAATAATTAACAAACACGTTATATAATTTACAAAATATGATCTAACTCTTCATAATTTGCCTAAAAATAAACACAATCGTCACGTTCAGAAGTGATTTCTAAAGTAAAATACAAACTACATATTAATGAAATGCTACTTGTCAACCAAAAGAGGGTAAAAAGATATTTTTGTCTTATATCACAACAAAAAAGTTAAGAACAATAACGTAATTTTACAAAAACATACTTTTGTTATTTTTTGTTTAAATCTTACCTACAGGTAATTTTATCATTTCTAATTATAAAAAAAAATAAAAAATAAATCTCTTTTTTTTCGCTCCTTCAATTTTAAAAACAAAATAAAAAATCTCACACACACTTTATGTATGGGGCATATACTATATTGATTGTAAAAAGAAAACGCAAGTCATTAATTTTAAGTTAATTAACTACATGCATCAATATACAAGGATTGAACTTTTGAAAGCAAATGAAAAGGCCATGCATGCGTACTTAGGTCATTAGTTTTGAGTTAATTAACTACATGTATATTGATACAAGGATAGAAATATAATTTGAAAGCAAATGAAGGCATGCATACTTAGGAATGGTAAAAGCCTTTTGTTTGCTCCTTTCACCACTGCCCACAATAAACACAAAAGTAATTAACAACCGGTAAGAATTAATAGTTACAGAAATTCAGAAAAAAAAAAACGAAAGCAGTCGTGACTACCACTGACTACTGGGTGGCGAGTAATTATTTAACCTGCGTTTCATGGTCTTCAATGGTAGAATGTTCGGATGAAACTACAGCCATGCAGAATAGCAAAACCGCAACGTGACCCCATTTTCGGTGGCAATATGTGTGTATTTTTAACAGTTTACTCTCAGCACTCAAAACTAGTGTTTCTGAAATCTAAATTCTTGAACTACAAAGACAGACAGCTGCCCCTTACTATTTGTTTATATAATCGTTTTTGTCTTAGTTAAGTTACCTGGTTGCCCATGTCACTTGTACCGAATTTGCATGCGCCCATGTGTTGTTCTGCACGTCTTGAACTAAGTTCGACGCCGTATCGGTGTCTGAACCATGACGGCCGGACCACGCATTTTGGTAGTACACAGCATTAGGCGACAAAAATATTCGTCGAAATTTCCAATTTGCCAGTGGGAAAACAATACTCCATTAGGCCCGGGCTTAAAAACTCCAATATTTAGGTCAATAATTGTTCAGGCAATTGAACAATAAGCAATTATTGCTTCAGTAAACATAATTGTTTGAGTGCATCTTTATCCCGTAAAATAAATTGTCCGAATTTAACATTTAAAAATAACGATGCCATCTCGTCCTCAACAACGCTGCCATCTCCACCTTCGTCGTCAAATACCCCCTCTCCCTCATCATAAACACCCTCAGCCTCCACGTCCTCCATGACTACTACGACCCCAAAAACTTCATAAATCTCCGACGGCTCCGTCCTCACCACACTCTCTACTAGACCATTGGCCACGTACGCCTCGGTTAATCTCGGCTTTGTCAACATCACTAATCTATGCAATGCTAGATTGAATCCACCATTGGCGACGAAAATGAGGCTGGCCACACGGCTGATGTCATCCTGAAGTCAAGCTGTCGTGAAATAAACCTGGGTGCACACACAGCAGGATTTCCCTTCATCCTTCTTACTGCGGCGCAGTTTTCTTTTCTCCTCCTTATTCTATTAACTTTTATGTGGCTTTAACTTATATTTTTAAAAATTTCTTAGATTACTCTTTATTTCATATTCGAGTTTCTAGGGTTTTGTAATATTGTTAGTTCTCTTTATTAAATTTAGGTTTTATTAATTTTTATGCAAATTACTTCAATTTCTCATGTTTTGAGTTTAAATTACTTATGTATGTGAGAGGTCTTCTTTCACATGAAATCTTGATTCTGTCACTGCTTGGTTCAAAAAGGTTGGTTCCACAAACCGCCCGACCTTTTGGGCTAGAGATGGTTTTTTGGGTTTTGTGGGAATTAATTGTGCAATTGCCTTAGCAATTGGGTAGGGCTGGAGTTGCCCTTGCACATTCTTAATTATTTTATACTATTAAATTAAAAAGATTTAATGAAAATCAAACAAAATACTTAAGAACAAAGAATAGGAGAAAATAGGTGTAAAAACTATTTCCCATGGGGTAATGATTAGGTTGATGAATTTATTGATTTGTTATTTGTTAGTCCAATAAATTATAGGCGAGAGAGTTGTGTCTCACATGCATCCTTATTAACCTTAAGATTTGCAACTAAAGTCTTTAAGAACGTTTAAATCATGTTTCATTGCTGTCTTCAAGTGGTTCTAAGTTTGGTAGCTGGGGGCATTACCGAATTGAATGAAGATTTACAATGTGGAGTTCCCAGTTTGCACAACGTCAGAGGACAAAAAAATAGAACTCTGCGTTGTGATTTAGAATCTAGAGCAAATGACATGGGAATCAGCACAACTACGTACAAATTACACAATTAACATCGACAGAAAATTTAAAATCCAGATATATATATATTATATATAACGAAATACATATACAAAAACATCATACAGCATCTGAGTTCTGCTGAAATTTATTTATTTCCTTTTGGGCATTTCTCGCTTCCCGTGATTTCCGATTACTTAAGGAGGTAATTCATAATTTGTGATAATTAAGGGCACTTGAGGTGGTTGTGGTGAGTAGTCATATCAGTGTAGCAGGTCCCGCAGGCTTCTCTGTTGCCAGCGGTGCCGGGAGGAACACATTTGCACCTCATGCAGCAGGTACCACATGCCCTTGTGCACACGTTTGGCCTCGAGTGCTTACTGCACCTCTGATTGCACAACCCTTCACAGTCTGCAAATTAAAACAAGCACACTCATGCGAACCCTATTAATTAACACTAATTAACGGTTGCAGTATGTGCTAAATCAATTGAATAAGTCATGCACAAAAAGTGGTTTATATCCACGTTGGTTATAGCAGATGTGCTCTTCATGTTTGAATATGCCTTCCAGCATAGTTTAGAGTAGTTCAAAGTAAAATAAAGTGTTTACATGCACTTTAATTTTCTCCTCAGCAGACTTAAGTACTGTTCTCGTTTGGATCATTCAATCCGAAAAAGATTTTAGAGATACAAAACAAACATAATCGTCCTGTTCAGAAGTCATTTCTAAAGTAAAATATCGATTCTAAAGTTAAAAAATCAAGTCATTAGTTTTAATTTAATTAACTACATGTATCAATATAGAAGGATCGGAATTTTGAAAGCAAATGAAAAGGCCAGGCATGCCTACTCAGGAATGGTAAAAGCCTTCTGTTTGCTCCTTTCACCACCGCCTGCAATAAACAGAAAGTAAAACTGGTAAGAAATATTTGCAGAAATTCAGAAAAAAGAACCCAAAGAGAAAAAAAAACAAAAGCAGTCGTGACTAGTGGGTGGTGAGTAATTAGTTAACCTGCGTTTCATGGTCTTCAATGGTAGAATGTTCGGATGAAACCACCGCCATGCAGAAGAACAAAACCACCACAAGAAGAAGCAAGCGTGACTCCATTTTCCGTAGCAATATGTATCTAATTATAACAGTTTACTCTATCAGCAGTCAAAACTAGTGTTTTCTGAAAGCTAGAGTCTTGAACTACAAAGACAGAGAGCTGCCACTTTGTTTATATAGTCGTTTTTTGACGTAGTAAAGTTACCTTATTGACCATGTCTCTTGTACCGTATTTGCATGCGCCCATGTCTTGTTCTGCACGTCTTGAACTAAGTACGACGCTGTATCGGTGTCTGAACCACGACGGACGGACCACGCACTCTGGTAGTACACAACATTAGGCGACAAAAATATTCGTCGAAATTTCTAATTTGCCAGTGGAAAAAAACAAAACTCCATTTTAATTCAACTTCAGTTCTTTGGCATACGTGGCATCCAGCTAGCTTCTTGCTTGATGAATCATTCGCATGTAGAGGTTTGGTGCGTTTCATCAAGTTTGGAGTTTAAATTTTGGTAAACGCCAAATTAGATATTTACTCATATCTTAATGTACATATGATTTTTCAAAAAACTTTTGGGTTGGCCTTATATACACATGCAAACCAGTATCAGTATGTAATATGTATGGCATGCACACAGACGTTACTACTTGGGATATTAACTCGGGGAAAAAAAAAAAAATTTCGCACACATTTTTTTGTTATGCTTAAAAGTGTTATTTTGTTTCTTAATCATCGATCGTTTATTGAACGTAAATGCAAGAAATATAAAGAATTGTGTGCGAAACTGATGTATTTCGATAAATACATGGGTAAAAGGAAATCGATGAAACGCCCATTCCATTTCCATGGACACCAACCACGACGCATGGGATGGGATAAGAAGGGGCATGGTTTGGTCATGGCAAGGGAGGGAATATCTGTGCATGCATGCACATGAATGAATGAGTCGGTTGGAAAGCATACTGAAGAAGCCAAGCTATTGACAAATAATACTGGTAATCTCATCTCGTATTCAGCACAGGACAGCTCAGTTCCAGTTGGATGGATTGATATCAAGAGAATGAGACGTCACTTTCTTTGTCCTCGTTATAGGCATGGAAGAAAAATCGATACACGTTCGAATAAAATTGTGAAGATATCTCAAGTTAATATGTATTATTATATATCTAATTTTTTCTCATACGATAGTGCGGGATTGATTTGTAATAATGTAAGCGTGACATCTTGCAACATGGCAGCTCTTGGTACACTGCAGTATTAATCTCATGTTGAGCTGGAGGAAGCCCTCGGCTTCTTCATACTAAACGAACCGCACAAAATTCCTGCATTTTTTCTGTTCACGACATATTTTCAAGGGTGTTATTCACATTTTCACTCTATTTTTTAAAGAAAAAAAAATACACTTACATAGAACAATCATTACCAGGTAACATTTTATTTTAATAGTTCAATGTTATGTTTTACAAAATTTATACGTGTCATTGTTTTATTAAAAACGGAACGGCACAATAACCGTAAATCATTTCCTACTAGTCATTTTCCTCCATGAAATAATGTGGGTCATGGGTTGGCACGGGAACTGAAACGGTGCGTCGTCCAAGTTTTATATTTCCTAGGGGAAGGAGAGGCTGCAGAGTAAGCTCAAGTAAAAGGTTGGCGGTGACACATTGGTTTCTATGGTCCATGACTCCATGGTAGTATTATAAAAACCAGGTCCAGATGCCACGACATGAATGTTGTCCCCAAAGATAGCCACGAGACCTGTTCACCGCTTACATAATAAGATGATATTGATAGTGGGGGATAACTTTCATGGGTACTGTACACTGTCAACAAGTAATGACGATTACATTGAAAATGAATTGATGCGGTGAGAAGCCAAATATTTTCCTACGAATAATGCTTGACTATTAAGAATGAGCAGGTACTATTACTTAAAATTTTTAATGTTTAAATTTTAAAATTTTATACTTATGATTAAAATCGTTCAAAATTAAAATCGTCTAGTTAATCTATTGTAGTAAATATACAAAATGTTCATCTGATTTCATTTATCTGTTTTTATACATTTTGATGGATAGACAATCTTAATTTTAATTATTTTTTTACAAAGACGAGCTTTATAGAGTAATTTATAATATGAACTATTTTAATCACAAAAACAAAATTTCTTGAATTGATAACAAACAACTTTGAGTAAGGACTCTTACTCATCCTTTGAATAACCATCTTTGACACTAAGCCCTAATTTGATACTGAGGTAATTCTGAAAAAAATGGCTATAAAAATAAACAAAGAGCTTTTTTACATAATTTTTGATGAAAAAAAACCAAAAACACAAAGCTACAGAACCCAATTTTGAAAAACCAACTTTTTTCACATCTGTTTTACATAAAAATTTATCAAACACTATAATACTGCTTTTTTTTTTTTTTTTTCAAAAGCACTTTTACGAAAAAGTTTACCAAACACTTTGCTGCTTTATTTCCCAGCTGCTTATTCTCACAGCACAGCAGAAGCAGTTTTGTTTCAAAGCACATCAATACCAAACCAGCCCTAAGATCATTACAAAGCTTGTCTGAATATTTAACAGTACATTTGACAGATACAAGCTTTTAGAATCATTTTAACTCTTTAAGGATGAACAACACCCCCCACCACCACCCACCAAAATTCAAAGAAACAAAAATGAAAACCTTTATGAACAAACAATGCCTATATATCTGAAGAGCTAACTAAGATCTCTCAACGTCAAAATTTCCAATTGTTCCCGGTAAGCTGAAGTTGATAAGAACTCAAAAACTTCAACCAAGAGCTTGGACTTTGGAGTTCTTGCCAATGCTTCCTGGGGAAAGAATGAACCACGGGAACGGTGTTGTTTCGAGCTTGAGGAAAGCCCTCTAGAAAAAAATGTTGATTTCCTTTTCACTCATCTCATATACATGGTCTCTTGCATCTGTCAAAGCACTCTGCAGCATGATCCAAAACATCATTATATAGCGGAAACAAAATGGCAACAAATGGTGAAACTCGAAGACCTTAGACGCCAAGAGGGATACCTGTCCAAATTTGGTGAGGAAGTTGCTGGCTACATTCAGAGATGTGATTGTCACATCTTCATTAGCCTTGAGTGCTTGAGCAATTGCAAATGCCCCGTCGTCCTGAATACAAAACCGCCGTCAAATGTTGTGCAAAAGAACACTAACATGTGAAAAGGTAAAACAGAACAACACATACCCTAATTTCGTTGAACCCTAGGTCTAATGAAGTTAAAGCTTCATTAACAACTTTTAAGCTACGAGCCAGGCACGATGCACCCTGCATTTGTTAACGTATAAATTAACATAAGATTTGAGTGATCATAAAGTTCCGAATGGAAGACATTTATTATCTACAGTAACGCACTTCATTTCGAAGTCCATTTGCCCGCAAGTCCAGAACACGTATTGTGGTATTATATTTTAACATATCTGCGATGAACTCTGCACCCTTTGCACCAATCTGCCAAAAACTCATAATCCATTGTTAAACGATCCTCTTAAAAGGATACGGAAAGCTCAGATCTTAGACTATAAATAGAAAAGCGAATGTGCAAAACTATAGATTACCTGGCACCAACCAAGCTTAAGGGTTTCTATGTTTCCATGAAATTTGAGAACTTCTGATAAAGCCTTCACCCCATCAGGTCCCATGGGATTGTAACCGAGTTCCAACTGAGAAAGGAGAGAAGTGTCTGACATTACATTCATGAATTAAATGAATAGAGAACAGAAAAGGTTAAAGACAAATATTAAGGACTTACGAACGTAATGACAGAATTATCTTTCAATGCTTCAGCTATTGCAGTGACTCCCTTGGCATGGATGTTATTTCCACCCTGCAAGAACGATCCCCATGTTTACTAAACTAGCACGTTAAGGACATTTTCTTTCTTTTTTAAATAAAAAAAACATATATACAAAAAAATAAAAAATGCTGCTAACAAAGACACATGCTCTTCTCACCATGTCTATGGTTGTTATCGTCCGGTTTTGCTTCAAAGCATCTGCAATTTTTTCAGCTCCCTAAATATGAACAGGATTTACACATCAGCTAGGAACTTGACTTGGATTTTTGAAGTTATAAAACTCTAAACATGCCATTGAAGTACTGATTAGTTACTTGGTATGTCTTAGCACAAACAATGTACCGTTCCAGAATGCAAAAGACTAAAACTAGGTTTTAATTCTTTTCTTTTGTTTTTCAGTCGTTCAAATTCTCTGCGCTATCTTAAGATTGTCAAATGCCAGAAAATCCAGACAGTGATGGCTGTAGCAGTAGATAGTTCAATGCAAGCTGATAACCTTGAAATGAAAAAAACATGCTTAATGACCTCAATCATCATAGTCGATACTTTTTTGGGGTACACAATAATCTATTTAATAAACAAAATTCCCAAACATTCTAGATTGGCTTTTGAGTCATTTTAACAATTGAAAAGGAAACCATACAAATTGTGAGTTCAAACAGTTGGGTAGCAGAAGTGATCAACAACTTGAAAATAGTATACCTTGTCGCCTATATCGTTCATGTAAAGGTTCAACCATAACAAGTTTTTGGTCTTTTTGATATATCCACCAACATGAAAAGCACCTTTAGCAGTAAAAGAGTTGTTGCCAATGTCCAGAAGTGTAAGTTTACCTAAGAAAATATGCATATCAAATTAATTGCAGGAAACCGAAAAAATCTGACCAAAAATAGGCAATTAATATAGTGAAATACAAACCTTTATGCAATGATAAACCTGACATCAAAGCATTCACTCCTTCATCTCCAATAGAATTACCATGCAAATGAAGTTCCTGCCATATATCATAGCTATTAATATCAAAGCCCTTTGTAAAACTTAATCAATTCTGTTGCAAGCTCATATATTTTTATGCAGCAACATTGTGGCCGCTAAAAAGAAGAATAATGAGCAGCATTTCTTGGAAACACTAAACAGGGTTCCATCAATCTTTAAAATTGCGTAGTAAGAGTAGATTTTTGTGAACTATTTCACTGAATATCTTCCTCAGTATGACTTATTGTGTTTTCCAATTAACAGAGAGTCAGAGACGTAAGATACCTTGAAAATTTATACAAAATTCAGAGTCATCATCAACATAGAGTAGTAATTTAATTTTATCGCACTGCAAAATGGAAAGAAGAGTGGTAGTGAAGAGACAGGTACCCTTAAAGACTTGTTCCCTTCAAGTCCTTTAGCTAAAGCATTGACCCCCAGGGCGCCACCATAATTGCCACTTCAAGCAAATTATACATTGTCAGAAGAATTTCTTTAAAAAAGAAGCCAAAGGCAAACAAACGGTACATATAATGATATAAACCTTAAAGTTTGTAGTATATGAGAAAAAAGGGGGCTTGACTAACTTCAGATGTAGATTTCGTATTGTGTTATTCTCAGCAAGAGCTCCAGCAAGACTTGTAAATCCCTACCTCCATTTTGTAAATGATAAATAGAATCAGTTAGTGAACTATGAATGAACTCATTGAAGACTATTATCTTAGGATATCTGGAGGCTATTCCTTACAGAGTAGTCAATCATATTGTTGTTAAGTTCGAGAACACGTAAGTTTGAATTTTTCTTCAACATTTCGGCAATAGCCTTTGCGCCCTGCACAGTGAAGTGAGCAGCATTGTAAGTGTATCATTGACGAACACACCCTTCCTCTTCCATCTTTTGCAAGCACATGAATGTACTCATTAGGGCACCAGCTTGGATAGGAAAAGTAATCTAACCTGATCCCCTATGTCAGTACTGTTTAGTTGGAGCTTTTCAATACCATTATTATTCACCAATACATCACATAGGCACTGTGAACAATAGTACACCACACAAATAATCAGCTCTCTAATTTACGAATGCACAAGAATATACACTTGTAAGTTGTGACTGAGGTGAGGCGAAAATTGTTAGCTGGAGGAATTTGTACTGACCTTAGCTCCCTCATCTCCAATAGGGTTTCCGGAAAGATTAAGAGTTTTTAACATGATGTTAGATTGAAGAGCACCATCAAAGGCTTTCATTCCAGTTCCAGTTATTCCATTTGCAGCAAAACTTACTTCTTCAGCAGTCTGAAACACAATTAATCACGCAATTATGGTCCACAGTAACAGTTTCTTAATAAATTAAAAGATAACAAAATTATACATAACAAAAACAAAGAGCTTTAGTATTTGACTAATGAACTCAAACCTGATTGTAACCCAAACTCTCTGAAAGAAAAAACAACCCTTCATCTCCAAAGTTACGTCCTGTCAAAACAAAGTGTTGCCAGAATACGCATGAGTTATTACATTTAGTTTGTAACTATATTAAAACTTTCAAATATTGATTTCTAGGAATTAGCGCGATTGCAGTTGGTATCCAGATAAAAACGAGTATGAATAAGAAAAAACGAAAATAATGTACAATGTGATTCTTTTAGCTAGCTAGTGTTTTCCAAAATGCCTGCAAAGATATAGAAACTACATTCATGAGTACTAAGCAACTACCTGACAGGTCAACACTTCTGAATGACCTAAGTTCTTTGGCAAAGTCATTGAGCTTCAGCTTTGACTCTCTTTCAATCTTTGCCCCAGACCCGATAACAGATTCGTACCGGCAGCAAAAGACCATTTCATCCCTTGTGCGGGCGTATTGCTCTCTACCGATGAAGTCCTCTGACGCTTTGGAACAAGAATTTTCTCCACCAATTTCCACAAAACTGTCAGCTGAAGACATAAATTAGTGCACCAATTTGAGCGACAAGGCAAATATAATGACTAAACAACAACGCCAGGCCAAAAAAGACTTTAATTATCACAAGCACATAAAGGTATCTATTCATTAAGACAAAACTTCAAACAAAGCTATTTTCCAGTTGAAATTTGCTAATAATTAAAAGTAATGCATCGACTTTCTAATTTCTATCCGACATTTCAAATTTTCAACCAAGTTAAAGTTTTCAAAATTCTAGCCAACATTTAACCAAATTAAATTTTTTCAATTTCTGCTCCATATTTCAACCAAGTTAAAGTTTTCAAATTTCTACCCAACATTCAACCAAATTAAAGTTTTCCAATTTCTACCCCACATTTTAACCATGTTAAAGTTTTCTAATTTCTATCCAACATTCAACCAAATTAAAGTTTTCCCATTTCGAACACATTTTAACCATGTTAAAGTTTTCCAATTTCTACCACGTTTTAACCATGTTAAAGTTTTCCAATTTCTATCCAACATTCAACCAAATTAAAGTTTTCCAATTTCGAACTCATTTTAACCATGTTAAAGTTTTCCAATTTCTAACACATTTTAACCATGTTAAAGTTTTCCAATTTCTATCCAACATTCAACCAAATTAAAGTTTTCCAATTTCTACCACATATTAACTATGTTAAAGTTTTCTAATTTCTATCCAACATTCAACCAAATTAAAGTTTTCCAATTTCTACCACATTTTAACCATGTTAAAGTTTTCTAATTTCTATCCAACACAACCAAGTTAAATTTTTGCCTAAGAGACGGTAAAACAAAAAGGAATCGAAAGCAAAAGCAGTACCAAAAGTGACGGCCAAGAAGGAGGCGGCGGGAACAACGAAGGAAGCAAGCTGCTTGACAGGAGCAACAGACAATGAGCCTCCGCTCTGCGATTCTCTGTACACTCTTCGAGCACCGGATGGCCTAGAAGCGGCTTTTACAGCCAAGCATCTCCTCCTTCGCGGTAGGATAGCAGGTAAAACCACGCCCTGCCCACGATAGCGCAGAAAAGCACTCCCAGGCCTTTGGGGCCGCAGTAAAATCTGAGAACCGAATAGGAGTTTTAGTATTCAAGTAAGAGAGAGAGAGAGAGAGAGAGAGAGAGAGAGAGAGAGAGAGTACCTTGGGTTGAGAGCAGAGAGAGATGGCCGAAGTGGAGCCCATATGGTGAGAGCGAGCTGGAAGTTAGAAGGGCATAGAGGTAGGGTTGTTGGTACGAACGGATAGGGCTATGGAGGTTTTGTTGTTGTTGCAGAGAGCGAAGCAGCGGCGGGGACTCTGGAGATTGTTATCGAACAAACGAGCGAGCAGACGACGATCACTCTATCAGCTACCAATTCACTTCCCAAAACGTTTGCCTCGGCTCTTAAATTATCTTGGACTTTGCCTTTCAGGCCCAAAACGAACAGTCTAGAATTCGGCCTTTGCGATTTCTCTAATTTTTGACAGCGGGTCCTGTCCCATTTTTGCATCCTCGAGACATTTTTTGTGCATGACGTTTTTATTAATTATTAAAAATGTTGATAATTTATTTATAATGTGTACATTTTATTGGCTACTTAAAACAATATCAATGACATATTTGATAATATGCTTTGACGATCCATAAATAACTAGATTGTACACTGTATATGATAATGCGGTTTGGGTTATTTTCATTGGGCATTCGATTAGTAGCATGACTGAAACAAACCAATCGATCCATTCAATGATCTAATGGCATATCTGAGACTGTTTTAACATGTCTAAATGCGTTTAGTTATAAGTGCTTTTGATGGTGTTCAGTGAAAAAAAAAAATTGAAGTTCTTTTGGTCACTTCCAAATGATTTCCATAAGCACTTGGGTTTTACTAAAAATTTCAGCGTTTTCAAAAAAACGCTTATGAGCAGAAACATTTTTTATATAAATTATTTCTAAGTCATAGTATTACCGTCAAGCTGAAAAATAACTCAGACTAACACTAAGCTTTGTTTATTTTACTGTTTGACATACATAGTTTTACTCTTCTAATTTCTAACTTACAAAATAAGAACGACAAAAGACAAACTATCAAGCAGCAGGCAAAATAAAATTGAAAAACCATGAGGAACTTTAATGAAAAACTTGTTCATTTTAACGAAAAACCATATTTTTACATTAAAAAGTCAATCTTAATATTATTCACTTTACCATTTATTTTGTCATTATCGTTAAAACTCAAAATCTTCAAATCATTTTTATTAATTTTCTTAAAATCAGAAGGTGACAGTTTTTGGCCTTGTACATTTCTCCCTAACGATGAACGAATTCATAGAAACGGGCGACCAATCTCAGCCCTTCATCTTCAGTATATGTACTCTCTTGTAGTGAGCCAAAACCAAAAAGGTCAATATCTTTCTGCTAGGTAAGTCATCGTTCTATCAAAAATGGCTTCTGAAATAATAAAATCTGAAATGTGTTAATTTGCTGAAGTTCTCTCCATTTTAGGGCTCGTTTGGAAGTGCTTTTTAAAATTTCTGAAACGCTTTTGATAAAATATTTTGGAACCAATCCTTAGTAAAAGTGCAAATAAATTCTGAAAAAGTACTTAAAGTGCTTTTAGAATCCAAAATTATTTTCTCTAAAAGCAATTTCAGTCATTTTAAATGTATTTCCAAACCAACCCTTCGTCACCCATGAGATTAATGGGTATGACGTTTTAACAAAAGGGCTCAACAATACTGTGAGTTGGATGTGATTAAACCTTACAATGTGTCATGTTTACCATATTCATGTAATGCAGTGTTAGTTGCAGTTTGAAATTTTCCAAATAATGGGAATGGGGTTTTAAACAAAAGGGTTCGGCAATAGTATGTGCAGTATCACATCTTATTACCATTTGACGGAAGTCGTTAAACCTAACAACGTGTTATGTTTTATTATATTCATGTAATGTGGTGTTAAATACAATTTGAAATTTTGCGAATCCCAATACCGACTCAACTTATCCTACGCAAACATATAAATTGAAAACATGTACAAATCAATCGAATCGTATTGTGTTGAACATAACAACTGCAAATTTAATTGTCATACTTCGTTATCAAGTACATCCAAGTGAATTCTGTGATCAATTCATTGATACTTTAAATCATAAATCACATCTGATATATCATTTCACGATAGAAGATAATCTGGATGAATCGATCTTTTTGAGAACTTATAAGGATGATACCAAATGAACATATAATAGGAAGATGGACTCTCATAAATTATGAAGGTGCAACTTCCCAGTTGAATCTGACAGAAAAGAATGGGCAAAAGCTGCATGTATGGCAGCCCCAATGGGAAGCACATCTTCATCGAGGATGTAGTGAGGACTATGCGGTGCATGTATGGCTCCTATCTTCTCATTTCTTGCGCCTAAAAACAGCATGAATCCGGGCACCTTGTCTATGTAAAAAGCAAAATCCTCGCTCCCCATGAAGGTATGAGCTAATTTTATGTTTTCTTCTCCTACTATTTCGCTCGAGATTCGCCTTACTTGTTCATAAATTCTCTCGTCGTTTACAGTAGGAAGGATGGTAGGATGTTCCTTCCCATGGAATTCGACCTCAGCGGAGCACCGGTGCACGGCTGCCTGCCCTTTTACAACCTGTCAGCAAGAAGAATTTCAGTTGTATGTTTACGCTTAGCTAGACACGGTTCCAATTTACTAAACAAACAATAAGTTGCATAAATCAGGGTTTAGCGTTCATATGCAATTTTGTTTTTGATTAAAAATTTGTAACCAGTTCGATATGTGCCTACTTCCACGTAGTTGGTGTATTACCTCTTCGATTCTTTTCATGAGTCCATTGAAGTTCTTCTTGCTAAAAGCTCTAAAAGTACCAGAAATTGTAGCTGACTGCGGGATGACATTGAAAGAAGTCCCCGCTTTAATCACAGCAACAGAAACCACCTGCATTAATGTTCAACATTGCATTGTTCAAGCACAATCCTGCTTTTTCTTCGAAACAATCACACAGACGAAATTGCAGAAAAAAAATATATACATACCTGGGAATCTAGAGGATCTGTTTCTCTCGAGACGATGTTCTGCAAACTAATTACAGATGTTGATGCTGCCAAAATCGGATCAATGGATTGCTGAGGAATTGCTGCATGACCCCCTTTCCCGTGAATTTTCGCTTTGAAGCTCCCACAACCGGCTAGAAATTCTCCAGGCCTCAATGCAACAACGCCAGTCGGATATACAGGCGCTATGTGCATCCCAAAAACTGCCTCCACATTATCAAGCACCCCTTCTTCAATCATGTCCTTTGCGCCTGAACCACGTTCCTCAGCCGGTTGAAATATAAGTACAACGGTTCCCTGCAAGGGTGACAAAATTACGAAGTGGACCAAACGAGTGGTTAGCGACACATTAATAGTTAGCGTTCGAGCGTGCCTATATATATCAACAAATTAATGAGTTTTTCATTAACTGAATATTTCACATCACCTGTAATGTGTCTTGCAGTTGTTTTAGTACTTTTGCAGCGCCAAGAAGCATGGCGACGTGGCCGTCATGGCCGCAAGCATGCATTTTTCCCTCCACTTTGCTCTTGTTCTCCCAGTCCACCATTTCCTATACTCATATTCAGGAAAGTACTGTCAACATGACAATGCTTTTTCAAAAGCATCTTTTTTCAACATTCCACTTTTAATCACTTGTCAAAAACACTTCGATTAAAATTTAAAAGCCAGTGAAACGAATAAAGTAGCAACAGAATATATATATATCAACCTGATCAAAACTGACAAAACCCAACAATTTAAATTGCCTTTGAGAAAAGAAGGTTGAACAAAATAAATTAAATTAAATATAGTGAGGTAATTAATTAACCTGAATAGGTAAAGCATCCATATCAGCTCTTAGAGCAACAAATGGAGGAGAGCCAGAGCCAATCGTGGCTACAACACCAGTTTTAGCCACAGGCCATTTATAAGCAACACCGAGTTTATCAAGCTCGCGGCGAATGAGTGCAATTGTTTCGATTTCTTCATATGAAAGTTCTGGGTTTTCATGCATTTCCCTCCTCACGTTTTTCATCCAATTCACTGTGCTGGGTTCGTTGGCCAGCCTAACTATTTGGTGTTTCACTGAATAAGTCTGATATGTGGTGGATAAGTTGATTTGGAGTTTCAGAGAAAAGCACAAGGGCATGGCAAGGGAGATTATTAGGAACAAAAGTTGCAGAAGAAGAAAGTCCATGTTGCACAAATTGCAGATGGAATAATGAGCAAGTAGCTTTGCTAGGTATATTCAATTGTGTGTGTGTGTGTGTGTGTGAGAGTATATATAGATACACACACAAATTAAAAATAAAAATGCTACAATGACTTGAAAGACTTTTCAGCTTTCAAATTAATAAAAATGATACCAGCACAGAAAAAGAAGGAGAAAAATAAATACTCTTTCGTTGGGGAAAATCAAAAGTTCTACAGCTTCTGAAAATAAAAGGTTTTAGTGTAAATTTTAGACTTCTTTCACAACCTCTATCGCACTTTATTCTTCTTCACCTCGGAAGAATATATAACAAAATAAAAGAACAATATTAAGAAATAAATTCAAACGATAACCTAGAATCTAAGTGGAATTAATATTATGAAATAAATCTAAATCCGCACAACAACAAAAATCTGAATTTCAGAAGGAAATCTGGAAAATAAAACAAAATTCCTAATTTTACTCAAATCTTAAAATATTTTTTCTCGTTTCTGTTTTCCAACAATGGCATTACAGGCAATATGCATATCAGATATTATGTAAGCATGGATTTTATTCAGTAATTTCATTTTTTTTTTCTGACTTTATCCTCAATCGATCGGCTGAGGAATTGTTTGTTGTTTATTTTGAGTGATGCCTGGGGTGGGTAGTCGCAAGAACAACAGCTAGCTAGTGTGGAAAATAGATCACGTGATGCCTGAGGTGGCTAGTCGCAAGAACAACAGCTAGCTAGTGTGGAAAATAGGTCACGTGTTGAAATTTGGATTCGTGGACTTCTCAAATATAAGATAATTTTTCAGGATGCGTTTGAAGTGTTACTGTTTCACTCAAATTAAGATATGGATATATGCTTAGAAATTGAACATATAGATCTTCAACAATCAACCATATTATAGCATGTGGAATGACATGTGTAGTGGCTAAGCCAATATTGGAAATTTTTTTTGTCAACATCTTGACCTATTATTTGAAAATTCTAATGCCATCCCTGGACATGTGGAAGAATACCACATAACAAATGTTTACTAAAAAGTAATTAAGAAACGTAAATTATATGGATTGGAAAAATCGCACCGAACCCCTTATTTACCTGGAAGCATATATGTAATTAGCATGTTCTTTTGTTTTCAAACATAAAAAACGTGCGTTAGTTTCCAACGCATGCATCATCACATGAGTTAATTGTCAAGTCTTAAGTTGGACCTTTTGTCAATTTGCTTGAGACGAATATGATTCATGTGCGCATTTTGGAAGACAAACTATCTGCCGCCCAGGTCTCTTCATCTTCATCTTTCAACTCTCCAGGACCAATTAATTTATGCAGGGCAAAAAGAAAAACCACGGGTTGCATGCATACAACGATGAAACTATTCATGCACTCTTTTATTCGGGCTGTTTAAGAAAGTAGATTCTCATTTTTCGAAAAAAAATAAATAAATAAAAAAGGAATAGGGATTAGTCGTGAGAGCTACTCTCTATTAAATTTTAACGAACTGGACCATTTATTTTGTATGTTGCACATTTAATTGTTACGATGAAATTCTAATATTTCTTAAAATATAGTGTTCGTCAATTTCTTTAAACTCAATTAGAAGCTTCAAATATTTTCAATCAACTACTATTTTGTTAAGATGATATATGAGATGCACCTTAAAAAATTGTCGATTTAAATCGTTAAAGTTTGATGTGCATGAGATCCACAACTATTAGAAATTCCTTCCTTTGTTCTTTTATTATATTTTTTATCGTTTATGTAAGTCGTTCAACATATACTCTAATCAAAGTGAAAACACTACTTTAATTCCTTGAAGAATTAAATCGACCATTCATCATTCATCATTCATAGTAAAGTCACATCATTCACCTTACCATCACAATTGTATTTAGTTTCAACAATTTTTTAATTCTATCACAAAATACATGTCCTGTGATTATAATTTATACCTGGAGTATCCACACTTGATTTTTTTTTTTTTTTGTGAGGATTTTAGTGATTCTCTAATTATATCCGTTCATTGTATATTGTGCGCTCAGAAATCATTGTAATTTTTTTATTTAAAATTGATTATAAATAATATCTAATAAAAACTGACCGAACGATATAATAAACAGATATGATTAAAAAATTTCTGAAATTTTTACAAAAGAAGAACAGGCGAATCCTCTCTCATGATTATATATCTGTCAAGATCTGGACAGGATCCTGCGATTCCAACTTATTAAAAATAACTTTAATCAACATATATATATTTAAGTTCTATAAACTATTATATATCTCAGCTAATGATGTCTGGTATCGCTTCTTGGGATCTGATTTCTTTGCTCTTCTATTTCTCATATACTCTTATTCTTTTTTATGTGTGCGATCATAGTTAAATCACGTTAACATTTTATATTATTATTTTTTATCTTATTATCTTTATAAAAAAATTTAATATAAAATATTAATATGATTTAACCATAATTCCACAAAATAGAAAAAAATGAAAATGTATGGGAAGTGAGAGGACAAAGAAGTGGCTCCATTATATTGAGTGTCCGAGTTGATGCTCTTAATCATTTGTGCAATACGTCATTCAATCACTTCTACTTAATTTTTCTTTAACTTTTAATCAGTTTTTGACACAGTGGGTTCTTTTAAGGTGTAAAGTCATCACTTAAAACATAGGTTTCTAGTCTAGGATTTTTAAATCGTCTCAAAACTTAAAAGTTTTTTTTCCAGACGACGTCTTTCTTAAAAACATGACATTCTCATGTACAAATAATTTATGTTGTAAATTATACGATATATCTCAACATTAACATTATCATTCAGTTAATATAGTTCAAATTATTATATTAAAAACGTAAATTTCACATTTATTTTATGAAAAAGTTGAAAAATAAACGTAGTACAAATAACAACTCCGCTTTGTCAATCAGATTCTTGCGCCTAGACCTATAATGGTGCACCAAAAATGGGGACTTATTGCGAAAATAGAGGGAGTAGAAAATCATGTCCCCTAGCATTTTGGACTTGCACCAGTCCAACCCAAGAGTCAGCCGCAAGCATGCACAGCCCTCCCTTCCCCTCCCCTGTAATTCCTCTCTTCCACAAAAAACAATCCGCAACTTTCTCTCTTCTATCTTCTTCTCCCCACCCTGCACGATCACAAAGAAGGAAACACGACACACATTCCCCCATTGATTCCTGCACCTCTCCATCTCCAACATTCCTCTCACTAATTAACCATGGCATTCTATTCCCATTCCCCTTTGATCACCCTTCTAACCCTAGTTTTACTCTTTCCCGCCGCGACAGCATCCCGCGCCCAGCTCACCGAAAACTACTACGATAAAACATGCCCAAAATTCAACGAAATCGTCCACCGCATCGTCACCGAAAAGCAAATAGCCACCCCCACTACCGCCGCTGCCGTCCTTCGCCTCTTCTTCCACGACTGCGTCCTCGAAGGTTGCGACGCCTCCCTCCTCATCGCTTCCAACTCCTTCAACAAGGCGGAGAGGGACGCCGACATCAACGTCGCCATCCCCGGAGATGGCTTCGACGTCGTCACCCGCATCAAGACCGCCCTCGAGCTCCAGTGTCCCGGGGTCGTCTCCTGCGCCGACATCCTCTCCGCCGCCGCACGCAACCTTGTCAACATGGTCGGCGGACCCCACTACACCCTCCGTTTCGGCCGCAAAGACGGTCTAATCTCCAGGGCCGATCGTGTGGAGGGCCACTACGCCAGGACCAACATGACCATCTCCGAGATCATCAACCTCTTCTCCTCCATGAATCTCTCCGTCCAGGACCTCGTCGCCCTAAGCGGGGCCCACACTATCGGTTTCTCCCACTGCAACGAGTTCGCCAAACGCCTCTTCAATTTCAGCACGACGGCGGAGACCGATCCCGCCCTCAATCGCAACTACGCGGAGGGTCTGAGGAAGCTCTGCGCCAATTACACTACCAACCCCGGGATGTCGGCGTTCAACGACGTCATGACCCCGGGGAAGTTCGACAACTTGTATTTCCAAAACTTGCAAAGGGGTCTAGGGTTACTGGCGACGGATAACGCCCTAGTGACGGATCCGCGGACGAAGCCGTTTGTGGATCTCTACGCCGCCGACCAGGCAAAGTTTTTCGAGGATTTCGGCCAGGCCATACAGAGGGTCAGCTTGATGAAAGTGAAGACAGGGAAGCATGGGGAGGTCCGACGCCGATGCGACGCCTTCAACAACCTTCAACAACCTCAAAACTTGAACAACAAACCTCAAGCCTCGAACAACAATCCCCAAGACTCGAACAAGCAGCCTCAAGACTCGAACAACAAACCTCAAGACTTGAACAAGAAGAAAAAAAAATCCTCAGCTTAATTCGAGCTCACCTGTTGTCAGTTTATAATCGATGTAATTTGCATTTTTTTCATTTGTTTGTAAAGTTTAGAAATACGAAAATATTGTCTCTCCCAGACATGTAGCTGCGAATTTTGTAAGCAATTATGTACAGCTTATGAAATTACAAACTTACAAATTCATAAACCAAAAAGGAACTGCTTCTAATATAACGTCTGTTAAGTACGGCGAAATCGCCAGTTACAACAAGAGAAACTTGGCAAAGAACAGTTGGGAGCTTGTGCAGGAGCAAATACAATCCTGCCATAATTTTTCATTCCTTAATCCAAAATGACTAGTACCCAAGGAAAGAGTTCATCGAACAAATTGTGCCAATTTACACGTGTGATTTGATGACAATGCCGATGCAAAAAGAACGGGCTGATTGATTTAATGGAGCCAAATCATATCCGCTTATGCAGTTGTTGAACGTAATTCTGGTCAACTTGTACTTTGCTTCGATGGATGCCAAAACCACTGGAACCAAAAACTGGAAAGAGAGTGCCTGATTGACTTCCTGTACCATAAGGAGATTCTCTTGAAGTAAAATCAAGATATCGTTGACATTGAACGCTGCAAAGCTAATAGAAGAAGCTATGACACTCACCCTGGTCAGCAAGGTTTTCTTTTGTCAACCTTTAAGCGAAGGTTGAACCATTTTTTCTTCTTAGATCTATCTCTAAACGAAGGTTTCTTATCTCTCACTTGACCATCTTCTTTGACCTCCGTAGGCTGACCCTTATTTCTACTCCTACTTGAACTACGCTTCATTGGAGGAGCAACAGTATACGAGGCATGAATTTTATTCCTCTGCTTGAGAAGCTCGTCAATCTGAGGAGAAACCCAACATAGTGGGGAAAAAGAAAAGGAAATGAAAACAGCAGAAACTGAGTGTAGTTCAAAATTATCAATATGCTTAAGCATTCAAATGAAGTTTGTTTAAAAAGGTACAAAGAGCGTTACCTCTTGCATTTCTTGTGTGTATCTGGAGGTCATCTCCGTGAATTGTGCCAGAACCTGTAAACAAGCCAAGTGAAAAGTAAGGTAAAGGTATTTACAATTACAAGGGTTATATGCAGTGCTTATGTCATGTACAGACCTCTTTGTACTCGGTTTCAAATTTTGATAACTCCACTCTTTTTGATAATATTTGAGCTTCCACCGCCCTTAAACTTTCCTTTTCTTCTGCAAAAGGTCCACAAGAAAGAACTTCTATCGTGTAGCTTGCACTTTTGAAAAAATTGTCACCTAGAATCGAATTTGCCACGAACCCGAGCTGGTAGTGAGGTTTAGTAGAGTACAGTACAACTAATAAACACAGTAAACTCGACATAGACAAAAGTTACAAACCATAAACAGAAAACACATGGGTGCCTGCTTTCAGTTCGGTTAATTCACATGGCTGAAATCCATCCAGCTTTTTAAAGAATGCAGCATCAGGATCCTTTGCACTAGCCATCTAGAGCCAAAAGATTTATAGAAACCATAATAAGAACAATTAGGATAAAAAACCTGAAACAAAAACTAGAAACATGGAATTCAAAGGTAGAATTAATTATTACGATTTCCAACAGCTCACCGAGTTCGATGTTGGGTCCAAACGATATACAGGGAATCCAAGAAAATACATCCCAGCAGATGTAACCTTTCCAGTTTTTGCACTGTCCTCCTGCACCAGAAGTAAAATACAAATGAGCAACTAAGACAAACATGGTAAAACAAGCATATGCCCCCGCCAACATTACAGACATGAAAGGTAGGTAGTTAGGACAGTTTTGTCTAGAATGAAAATAACAGTGGCCAGAACAATTTATTTATAAGAAGCATCGCCAAAAGATCCCAATCATTATATTGCAACTGATATGAAACCGTAATTCTTACGCATATATCAGTTAGTAATTGAAAATACTAGCACTGTAGCCCCATTTTCATTCTTCCTTCCATGCCTCCATCCCCAAAGAAAGATCAATTCGGAAAGAAGATGATATTAACATGTGACCCTTGATTTTACATGACTTTGACTGATAGCAAGACCATGTTCTTATAAGATAAAAATCGTCCCACTCTTCAATTTATCCTATAAGCCACCCAGCTCTATATTTATAGTTCACAGTCATATGAAGGAGCTTATTGTGGTGCTGGCTACATTAATGATCCATAACCCCACAAAATTAAAGATGAAAAATCTTGGCACCTGTAGGCAAAGGCTCAATCCACCAGTCTCCTCCTGATCAAAATACAATAGCTGCAAAAAGAAAATTTCGTCCACAAAACTTGACAAGTTAAAAAAGCAGAAGATAATCGAATAGTTACTTTCCAGGTGACACGTGTACGAAGAGATCTAAGACTTAACCTTGAACTTGCTTTTGTCAGACGATTGCACTTGGCACACAAATCCAGCTTTTGCTTCCGCTTCCGTTATTGTAACAGAATAGAAGTGAGCACATTGCTTTTCAACCTGTTAAAAGACAGGAAAATGAGTGAATAAATAGAACACTATAATTAAAATAATAAACCAGGCCAAAAAAGGATAACTTACCTTTTTCGTTATAGACTGCCCCAATGGAAGTGGAAGGATAGTGACCATCCCATTTAGTGCCTCCTCCAAGACAGTAGCTGATACGGTGGTCTTTATCGGCACTCCAAGTTTACTGATGTGTAGAATAGTGTTACATCATCAGGAATTCTTTCATAAGTTCAGAGAAGGGAAGAAAATTCTGAAGAACAAAAAGAGCAAAATAAACCAACCAAACCTGAAAAGGGCAGCAAACATGGTATTTACAGCACCCAAACTTGAAAGATCTAGCTCCAAGTCGTGGCTTTCTGTTTCAACAGCCTAGACAACCAACAAGGGAATCATGTTCAGCAAAAAATATTCATGTTAACCAAAAGGATAAAATGCATCAACATAATCCAAGTTAAATGCATGCATCAACAGAGGGAGCGACTGCAGTCTTGACAGCCCTAAAGTGTGGGACAAATAATTTGCCTCTGATTAAAAAAAAGGTGACTGAATCTTCAATAGTTCACGATAATGAGCACCCCAAAAATATCTCACCTGAAAGCCGGCTGTGTCATACTGACGTCGTTTGTCTGGATCAGACAATATATTATAAGAAAACGTAACCTCCTTGAACATATCAGCTGCTTTAGGGTCATTAGCATTTTTGTCAGGATGGTACCTGAATGATACATTGTAGCATTATCAATAAATTTTTCTCTCTTTTACTCTGTAAGATTTGAACCCATTCAAGCAACCAAACGACCACATGGAGTCATGGACCAAGGCACAGCACATTTTCAAAATCCTTCATATTATAAAAGATTATCAAGGAAAAACATATAAGGAAGTGCAATCTGATGCCTTAAACTAACCCATTAGATAAAACTGAACATTCAATTTAAAACCTAGGAAACTTCAATCTTTCTACTGTAAATCCAACACCTAAACATCTGGAATTCCATAGTCAGAACCATCTAATATAGAGTTAATAATATGTTAGCACGAATCTGTACCACAAGCCTACAAGAAGATTTCACCACAGAAATCCGAGATTCACATGACTACGCAAAAGAAGTGTTGCAACGCAGCTGCCCATGATGCGGAATAGCATAGCTTATAAGATAGTGATTAGCAAATCTATGCAACTATCAGGAAACCTTTAATTTCGACCTAATCCTTCACCCAATCTACTCTCTCTCTCTCTCTCTTCTGCAGATGCTCCACACAAGCGATGGTCAACAAACCGGGAACCACTACTTCCAGCGAATACTAATTCTACAAAATTCTTAACCCTTATTCCTAAATTTCATGCCTTCGTCTTTGTTTGCATCTAAGTTGCGTTTGACTTTGGATTATGCAAATTACCAGCATTTATTACAATCTCATTAGAAACAAGAATCCGTGCACCCAATTTCACAACTGATATTCTCAATTACATCAGCTACAAATTAACTTCAAAAATTACAGAAGCCATACGCTCGAACTCATCGAAGAAGAAATAAACAAAGTCCAACAGTGCCTCGGAACTCAAAAGCTGATAAAAATAAAAATAAAAAAATAAAAAAAAGGGATAAAATAGAAGATGAGCGTACTTGAGAGCCAGTTTCCGGTAAGCACTTTTGATTTCCTGGTCGGTGGAGTTCCTACTGACGCCGAGGACCTCATAAGCGTCTCGCCGGAGCTGCTTCTCAGCTTCCTGCTTCTCCGATTTCGATCGGCTGCCCGGCATTTTCAAAATTGAGGGCAGATTTCTTCACAAAACCCTAGAAATTGCCTCTCGATTACCTCCGAAACGCCGATTTCACGATTCCGGAGTGAAAATTTCCCTCATTTCAAAGAAGTGGAGGAGCCGAATCAGCTGTCGCACAGCACTGGAGCATCAGAAAACCAGGAGGCAGAGAGACTCCATGCACATCCAAGCTGGAGCCTTGGAGGAGAGAGAGAGAGAGACAAGAGAGATGGAGGGGGAAATTAGGTGTCATATAGTTATTATTGTTATAAAATATGTCAACTCCGGAGAAAATTTGAAAAGTAGGAGATTCCTGATAATGTACGCCGGGGTGCGTAATACGCATGGTTTGCACGCGATCGGCGCGTGTGCTGTTATACAAAAGCCGCATGATTTTGTATCCTTCCTTTCTAACGTAAACTACTAAATAAATCACAATTAAGTTCTAATCTACGCTAATTAAATTTGAGATTTACTCCAATTAAGTGGGAAAAGGAGTTTCATGCAACAAAATTTCATTTTGGTGATGTTTTAAGTAAATAAGACATTGTTATATAAAAAAGTAAAAACGTTTATTAGCATTTAATTGACTTGAACATCGCAATAATAAAATTCATTTTGTAGACAAATTTGTCTCATTAAAGGAAGACAATCATCTGTAAACAAAAAGCTAATCAGTATTCATATAAATCATTAACATACAATCTCATCATTTATTCGTGTAATAGTAACTTTTTATTTAAATACAAACGATCATAGAGGACGAAGATT